CTTAACTTGTAAAAGTTTAAATCTAAATTTTTCAGAGTTTGTTATAATATTTTCACCATTAAAATTATATATTTTTAATTTTATGTCATTAAATCTTGATTGTAATTATAAATTTAGTTACGATTTATTATTTGGAACAATTCAAATAATATTAAAAATATAGTATATTTATACTTATATATAAAATAATGGTTGTTGCATTAATTTTTTTAGATAGAACTAAATATGAATAATCAAAATAAGATAATTAATACTTTTGACGATATTTAAAGTTAATACCTAAAAAATTATTGTTTATCAAAAATACAAATTATGGACAAGTAGATGTATATACTGATGCTTATTTGATTGGATAACTAGAAGATAGATGATTAATATTGTGCTACTTTATATTTGATGGTAGTAATCTTGTTACATGATGCAAAAAAAATTAAGTTTAGAGGTTTAATATTTGAAATTTGTGAAGATAAATTATTAAGATTCATCGGGCAAGATCTTGATTAGTTATCTACACAATCCATTAAACTGTGTGTAACAATAAAGTTGTTTCTGATATTACTCATAATCCAGTACAACATGATCCAACAAAACAAGTTGAAGTGGATAAATTATTTATCAAAGAAAAGTTAAAAGAGAAAAATTATAGAATTACCTATGATTCGTTTAGAAAATTAGTTAGTTAATATCTTAACAAAGATTGTCTCAAATAAAGTATTCTAAAAATGTCTTGTCAGATTATCTTAGAAATAGTGAGATATTTAACTCAATCCTAAAATCAACTCAATAAGGTGATGATTGTAGTCACATATATACTATATTGTTATCATTGTTAGACAAATGACATCTAGAGGGGTGAATAGATGCACAAATTAAAATAGATGTCAAATTAAAAATTTATTTGTGAGTCAATAATTTGTTTAAACAGAAATAAAGCGGAAGCGATAATATAATCAGGAAAAGAGAAAGAGATAAGGGAAAGAGAAGAGCACACAATGATTTATATTGGTTCGGGTATAGACAACCTTACATCTCGTTCCCAGTCAACTCTTAACACAAGAGTGACTCCCAATTCACTATCTTTCAAATTCAGTTTACAAATTACAATCAACTCAGCAGAATAATCAGTAAAAAGTAAACTATTAAAAAGACAATCACCTCCTTAGAAACCCACTAAGGATGAACACCTTCCTATAATCTCACTAGGGATGAACACCTTCCTAGAATCTCACTAGGGATGAACACCTCCTCTGAACAAATCAAAGGATGAAAAATACCTCCTTAGAATCCCATTAAGGATGAACACCTCCCTAGAATCACACTAGGGATGAAAACCTCCTTTGAACAAATCAAAGGATGAAAACACCTCCTTAGAATCTCATTAAGGATGAACACTTCCCTAGAATCACACTAGGGATGAAAAACACCTCATTTGCCACCAATACACAAAGGATGAAGGTAATAAAAATAAGAACAGACACACCTGGGTAATGGAGACAACAAATTGTAGAAGCCTGTAGAATGTCAATCTCCAAGAATAATTGTGATTAACAATGAAAGCACAGAAGGCAGTAGAGAAGAGAGTTTTCTCAGAAGGTGTAAAATATCTCTGTTGTCTTGCTCAGAATTCTTTTCTCAAAACTGATTGAATGTAAATTGTATTTTCGAATTCTGTAATTGTGTGTATTTGATTTTTCATCAAAACTTAATTAAATAGAAAAATAACATCAGAAAATGGGCGTTGGACATTAATAATATCATAGAGAAAATCAGGATGTATTCAAAAATATTTATTCTTTAAAACGGATATATTTTTCAAATTTGAATTGTCATAATTGATTATATTACCAGTATAATTAATTATGATAGAGAAAATCATTTTTCCATTTCTGATGCATCATAATTAATTATGACAGAGAAAAATATCATGTTATAAATTTTATCACACTTGTGCTTTGGAGGCTTATGCATAATATTACTTCATCAACTTATACCTCCATCTCCAGTATTCTAAGACTCTATCTAGTCTTCAGGAATCATCTTGGGCTTACTTGAATCATCATCTTTATCAAAAACATATCTTGGGCATGTAGGGAAATGTTTCACATTTTCACCAACGTCATAAATTCAGTTTGTCCTTAATTCATCTTGAATGGTGTTGACTTGAATCATCATCAAAATCATCTCTTAGGAATGTAAGGACATTTTCATCAATCTCCCCCTCATTGCTTTCAATCATATCTTTAGTTAATGTGATATTTTTCAACACACCCTTCACATGGAAGAATATTTTTTCATCACATCTCATATTGAAGAGGATTTTTTTCATTACACTCCCTCATATCGAGTACGAGTGATTTAATATTAGTTCGATAATAAGTATTAAGTCTACCAATGTCCCAACATCTCTAGAGCGGACTTTAATACCATCTTAGAAATGGTGAGATACCTAACTTAACCTTCCAAAACTGATTCAGTAAAGTGAGGATTGTACTCACGTATATACTATGATATTATCATATCTCTAGTCGATATAAAAATATATGAGATTTATATACATTAACTTGAGTAAGAGTGTTTAATATTCTTTTATAAAATATCGTGTAAATTATATCTTATTTTATTAAGATTGGTATAATTGTAAAATATTTTAGTTTTTTAATAAGTTATTTAGGCACACTTAAGGATGACAAAATGAGCTTCACTGACGCGCGACTCACCAACCAATCTAAAAAATGATGAACTGCATTGGTAATTTTAGATTATTAGCCTGTTTTTGCCTTCTTGCCAATCTGGCGATCCAAAGACAAGATGAGGTGAGTTGGTCTTCTTATCTATTTAAAAAAATATTTATATATTAAAATTAAAATAAAATAGATAATAATAAAAAAAGATGCAATATTGTTGAATATATACAAATATATTATAATATAATTATGACAGGTTAGTTGGTTCCGTCTTATTTTTTTACAAACTAGAAACAAATCGATTAAAATAGAGCAAAGTCACTTATTTTGTCACTTATACACAATTTTGCATAGTATGTTTGGATTTATTTCATATAAAATAATGAATATATTTCAATTTTATTTAAGGTGGAAGAATTAAAATGAAATAGAAATCAATTATTTAATATAATTTCTTGACTGTTTAACAAAAACAAAAATAAATTAAAGAAAAATATGAAAGAAAAACATAAAAGGTAAAATTATTGTGTACATTAATGTTATATAGATTAAAATAGAAAAATAATATATTAATATGACTAGGGCCGTCAAATGGTGACCCAGTTTGACCTAGTTTCACAGGTTAAGTAAAAAAATTCTAATAATCTAATCAGACTTATATTTTAAAACAGACCAACATTATTGACCTAATCTGATCCATGTTAGACTAATGAGCTAACAAGTAATTTTTGGCCTAATTAAAAATAAAAATCTTATATTTATATAATTTTTTTAATTTTATTTAAAAAATAATATATCAAAATTAATTCATAACTTATTCACACATAATAAAATCATAAAATATAATCATACAAAAATTTATCATACAAAAAGTATTAAATAATTAAAGTTTAAATTTGCATAATATAAAGATTATAAAATATTGAATACTATAAGATCTAAATGAGAACTTGCATATTTACGGAAAGTAAATAATTTTTATATTGGTTTAAGATATTACTTGTACGAAGATTATAATACAACTGTTATAATTACAATGTTTAAAATGTAAGTAATTATTTAATTTCCAATTTTAATAAATTAAGTAAGTCGTTTTACTCCTATAAACTTGGGAAGATATATTTGTTTATAGAAATCAAATATATTTGATTAGTAGAATATTTAATAATACATATGTAGTTTTTTCTTTTGATAATATATATGTAATTTTTTCTTTTATATTAAATAAACATTGTAAACATCATTAATTAAAATGTTTGTAATAATTGATTTAAAATTAAGATTTAAATATATGTTTAATAATGCATTTAACAAGTACAACATAACAAGGACTATATTAAAAAATATGTAATATTAAATTATTGATCCCTAAAATTCCTTATATGCATATAATTTTTCATCACTCTTTCATTTACATTTCTCTACCCCTTCAACTAAACTAACATTTTCAAAATAATTTCACATTTCAAAAATAATAATTTTTGTTTTCATAAATACTTCACCTTTTTTTTAATATTTTCACTCTTATTATTACTATACATATCATAACTATAACTATAACTATAAATAAATGAGTTACCAATAAAACAAGGTAATATGTAAACAAATTTATGTTTAAGATATATATTTTTTTAAATATATATATATATATATATATAATATTATCAAATTATTTAACACTTTTTAATAAAATAATATTACTTTTATTTTATTTTAAAAATAATAATAATTTTATAAAATAGATCAACTCATCATTCTATAAATTACTCTAACCGCATAACCGTTTAGACTATTACTTAAATACTTTTTGGCCTAATTCTATTTAAACGGTAAATGTCTAACCTAGCTTATTATTTTATCATTATTCTTAAACCTATTTTAACATCCAGGACACAAAAATTTAGTGTGCATAATTACGTTTTCATTTAAACAATTTATAGGTTAAGCAGTGAAAATCACCTATTATTATCCTGTTGATTATTTTATAACAAAATATAATTTAAATTTATTTAATAGTTTTTAATTTTAATATTTATGTATACTAATGTAAAAAATTATGCCTCTCTTAAAATGGGTCACCTGGACCGTCATCACAGTCACCTGTCATTCAACCATAATGTAGTCATTACTTTTTACATTTATTTCGTAAACAAAAAACAAAATAATAAAAGAGATATATGATAAAATATGTATGAAGTAAAAAAAAAGTATTAAATATTTTTAGTTTTCAACTATTTTTTATCAGTATAAATACTAATATCCGAAGATCACGGGGTTGAGTTTTGTTTTTTTTTTGGTGAAACTGTTGCAGTTAAAATGGAGCATATACAAGTGAACCGGAGCGAAGCAGAACGATTGGCGCCGTCGCCTCCAACGCTGCATACTCCGCCGCAAGGTATGCACCAGAGGGATGTGGACGAGGATGACGAGAACGTGAATCAGCTCGATGAATGTTCTTCCCTGTATCGCCTGATGCAGGTTAACTTCATTGCCTTCTTTATTTACTTATTTTCCCTTCCTAAATCCCTAATCCTTCAAATTTAAGTTTCATCGATCTGGTCCATTCATAGAGGATTTTTTTTTCCTTATATATCAGGATTGTGTTGTTCGATCAAACAGGAATTGGAAAGTATGCCAGCCAGGTATCAATCTTTCACAATTTCTATGTTACTTGCTGCCCGCGTAACATGTTATCCATCTCTAAAATTGTGGTTGAGTTTGTGTAAGAATGCACTTGGGCTCATGGAAATTTTCACCTGCAATCCAAATACCTAACTATTTTACTGTTTTTCCCCCATTGATTTGCAATTTATACATTGTTCTCTTCAGAAAGTTACGTTCCATAATTGTAGTTGAATTAACCATTGTTGAACTCTTAACAGAAGTACATGCTTTGAGGGAATGCTTTGAAAAGAGAAAGAAAATGCAAGGAAAGTAGAATTTGGCAGAGATGGAATTGATTTTAGTTGCTTATGAGGTTTCCTTTGATTCCTAGTTCTTCGTGGTACCGCAATGGTGTACAAACACTTCCCCAACCAAACGAATATTTTTAGCATAGTTCAATTGAAACTGAGTGAGATTGAATTTGGGGAAAGGGGACTTTTACATATAGATATCTCTAATAAAACAGTATTTTCCAATTGAAATACCAAATACATGTTTTGAGGTTGGATAAATCACATCCCTAACTTGCCTTTACTTCTTAAATTCACTTTGATTGTGTATTTCTTGCTGTTTGATGATAGTGTTATGTGAATGATAACTCGGCTAGCACTATGCAATTTGGTGCCCTGATCTTCATCTAGTTTCATTTGTTTATTTTGCATGCGGCTATCTTCATCTAGTTTCATTTGTTTATTTTGCATGCGGCTAGAGAAGTAGTGCTGCAAGTGAAATTATCGCTTTAAGTGCAAGAAGTAGGGTGGTTTTACTTGAAATAGTTGTAGAATAAATTATAAGACTTGATGAAACAGCCTTTTTATCGTCACATTTTAAAGGATTTGAAACAAAAATATCTGAACTCGGAATACTACAAATCTATTATATATTAAGTATGGATTGTACTTGTGTGACCAAATTTATAGATACGTTCTTGATGCATCAAAAGGCATGTCTCTTGGTATGAAAAGCCATTGGAGGCAATGGTTACCTGCCACAATTCAATTATTTCACTAAACTATAATTTATCTCTGGGGAAAATGTCATTTATGATGGGTGACTAACTTGTAATTTCTAAAAAAGAGGAATAGCTCACAAGCAACACCAATACATTTTCAGAAATTGAAGGACACTATTAGAATGTTGAATTCATCGAATTTGGGAGAAAAAAGAATTAAAAAATATATTAATGTACGGCAAGGGTGAGCTGGCCCTGTAATCAACAGGATGGACTGCCTAACAAATTCTCTTGTGCAGTTGTAATCGCATGGGGCCTGATAAGTAGCATGATAGAGCTGTGTGTGGATGCACATTTACTGCCTGTGTTAGTATGCATCATGAGCATGATTAGATGCCAATTGTTTGTATGAAGAAACACTGTCTGAACTATTTCATATAAACTCCAAACACAATAGAGAAATTATGGATTTTGGAGCACCCTTTAGCTGTTGCATAAAATTCTATTGATTTTTTAGTTGCATACCTACGTCAGCATGCTCAGGAATTCCTGTTGTTCGAACCCACACAGGTAACAGGTTATATTTCACATGCACCTATCTTTTAACTTAGACGTAAGCGATGATTTGTCTTTTTACCGGTGATAGAGTACATGTAAAATTTTATATGTCTCTTGGAAGAACTATGCAAGTATAATAAATAATGAAAATAATTTGTCTTTTTATTCGTTGAGGAATCAAGCCTGTTTTTGATTGTGATGTAGAACTTGACTGCTTGTTGCGGTGGCATCAACTCTATGATTTGTGTACTTGCTTGAAACCAACCCGTCAGCACTTTCTCACTGGTCATGTTTATTAGCAAACGTGAAATGATGTTCGCACTTCCTCTGTATGTGCTTTAATATTTAACTGTTTGAATTAATGAAAAAATTCACTTAAAATCTAAATAACTATGTAATTATTGAAGTGGATGATTTTTTTTTTCTATTACTGATTCCTAAATTATTTTCTGCAGAAAATTATAATTGAATTAATTAATCATTGTAGTTTGGCACCAATAAATAAATAGTCGTTGTTGAGCTTTTTGTAGAAATCTGTGAGATAATGCTTTGCAAGGAGAAAGCAAAACAAAAGTATGTAAGAATTTTGGAAATGGAGTTTATTTTAGTTGGCTATGAGGTTGTCTAGTATTCCTAATTATTAGGTACTCAATGATAAACACAGTGCAAAAAGTGAAACAATATATGCACTTAAAAAGTAAAAAAGAATTGAAAGTTTGAAGAGCAATGGCAGCAGAAGGTGCATGCATATGCATAATGCTTCCCAAACTTAAAAGAAAATACGGTTTGTAAATTAACCTACAGGGTGGAGGAAGTCATTCACAAGAACAACAGCAACAAACTATCCACAACTACCACGTCTCTTGTTTGTTAATATTATGACAAACCAGGCCGCTCAGCTGACGTTGTTATAAAATCAATGGCCATCCAAACAAGCCACACACACCGTCGGCTAATGCAGCACAGTCACCACATTACCAATGATCAGGAGTGATTATACAGGAGATGATCATCTACCGGATGCCAATGGCAATAACCTTCTTATCACACCACTATTTCTAATTTTTATTCTTTGAAACTATCCTGTTCCCAATTTTACACAATTTTATATCCTTTTCTCAATTATGTCAAACTAATTAAGTCTACGATATCCTGTTCACTAATCAACCAATTACACAAAATTAAAAACTTTTGGCTGTTTGTGGGATATAGCTTCGCTCAAAGTTTGTTATAATTTTAAAACTCACCATTCTGGACATGTTCATTTTTTGGAAATATTTTCCATTTTCATCTCCTAATTCCAAACTCATCCCTACATGTAGGCATCCCACCTCTTTCAACAATTGAACAAACACCACCGTTATTCCTTAATCCTTTAATTATCCAAAAATGTGAAATATCACCTACGGTCACACCTCTCAACTCATCACCCACAAACGTATGAATTTACAGCTTGAATGAAAAAACGTTCATCCTTGTTTTGTTTGATGAGAATTCAAACACACTAGTAGACTTGCTTTACTAATTTCACTAATAGAAATAGCATATCTTACAACATAGGAAGGATCACAGTAACTAAACCCGTGATCCTATTAATTGTGTCCATCCTCCTTACTCGTCCTCTTTACGTAGTTTGGTTTCCTATAAGTTCGTTCAAGCGAGGTTGTTTAGTATTTAAACGTGATTTTGTTTTGTTCATGGTGCTTTGGAAAAGAGTATTCTCGTCGTTAGCTTGTGGCTTAATTTGAACAAGTTTTTTCTTTTCATAAGCCTTGTTTCAATCCCTAGTTTCTTTGTCATGCATATGAAGTACAATTCTCGTTAATATTCCGTCAATAAGATGCAAATAACTTACTCTTAAACAAAAGTTATCCAAAGACATAGTGCCATGCAAACCATGCTTTGGAAAACAACAACAAATTTATTCAAATTATGTTTTAACAAATTTAATTTATATTCTTATTTTATTCAAAAACGTGTTTTAGGTACATTGATTCGTGTTTATAAAATTTATATGAAATAGTTTTAATATATTAAGTATTATTTAGATACTTTGATTACAAACTATTTTTATAGATAAAATTATAAACATCGGAATGTTATCTATTCAGAGTAATTATATAATATTATATCAATGAAAAATATGGATCTTGCTCTATATTATGAGAAGCAAGAAACACCCTCTCTTAATTGAGAGAAGGTCCAACTACACAGGCATAGAGTATGTTTATTTAGAGCTATTAAGAATTTATTTTAACTCACTAAATGTGATTGAGAAGAGTTTTTAATTAATCTCAGTAATGTATTTTATATTTAAATGTGTACCGTGTGAATAATTAAGGTCGACGATGTATATATGATTCATGCACAAACCTACCAAAACTTTATTGGATGAAACAGAAAGCCATGTAAAAGACTGAACAAGAGAAGGATTTTATTGGTTCACGAAGTATTATAGTCCATGCTCAGTTATTCAAGCTTATAGCAGTCTTTAAAACCACAGTTAAGACTACAAACAAGACCATATGTTTCAATAGACACCTAAAATAGAAGAAGGTCTCATATTGATGCAGTAGCATCCCCTGGAACAAATTTGACAGAAATACTATTGACACAATGGCGTTCATCAGTTGGGGTCTTGAATCCCTCTCCTTTGAAAACATGACCCAAGTGCCCACCACAGGCTGCACAAGTTATCTCTGTCCTCCTTCCATCTGGGTCAGGCTGGAAATCACAACTTCCATAAATTCAATGCAATTCCAATTTCCAACCAAAGATAACAAGGAAAAATGAATGTTGCATAATAAATTTTTCAAAACCACTCACAGATCGATTTATGGCCCCAGGAAAACCCTCATAGAAAGCAGGCCAGCCACAACCAGAATCAAACTTGGTTGAAGACTTGTAAAGAGGAGTTCCACAGCCAGCACAGTTGTAAACTCCTTTTTCATAAAATTTGTTATATTCTCCGGTACCCTTCAATCTGCATGTTCTCAGTGCAAGAAAGTTACAATCCAACTCATCTAAACCAATTCGATAGCATAATGGGTATTTTACCCAATATAACTTGAGTTTTAATTCCTACACATACAAAAAAATAAGCTTTTGTCCCTGCCATTTAACACCTAAAAAAATAAACTTCGAAGAAGCTATAAAACTTTTTAGGGGTGATAAACTGTTACAAAATTGTATAGAAATAGAAAGTCAACACATCCATTTACCCCTTAAAAGATCACACCACCCAACCATGCAGCGCTAAAAAAATTATCCACCTTACTCTTCATACTTATTGATCTTCCTTCTACATGAACACAACCTTCAATTTCTACCTTCTAAAAATCATGCCCTTCAATTCATGACCAACAATCTCAAAACCCCACTCCCCCCAATCTTAACACAAAAAATATGGACGAACGAAAAAAAGATAACAAGTTTAAGAAAGGATTAGTTAGGAATTTACTCAGTTCCTTTCTGGCGAAGGATCCGAAACTGTTCAGCGGAGAGAACAACCTTCCATTCCTCTTCTGTTTTCTGAATCGGCGTTGGTGCTGCCATTATTTTGCTGATGATCAAACTTGTATAAGCTCCTTATTACAGTGCCCAGTTGCATCAGAAAAAGCCAACAAGGGGGAACCTATATACTAGGAACATTTTCCGGGAAAATGAACTTGGACGGAAAATTGGTTCTGGACAGTGACAGTGGCTAGCTGGTGAGCTTTTCTCGTGCCTTGTGTCACCGCACGTGTAATGTGTATCCCTACGTTCTCAATAACGTTGCTTTTTTATTTTTAAATTAAATTTATAAAATTAAATATTAAATTTAATAAAATAATTAAGGAGTTTAATGGGCAAGATATGATAGCATTGAATAGTATAATTATTCTATTTTATTATAATTTGTTATTTATTGCTATCAATTATATATATGATAGTATTGGATAGTATAATTATTTTATTAGAAAAAAAGAGGTTTGGTTGTATAGTTTTTTAGAAATTATATTTAAAGATAAATTGAGTCTTAATTTATTAAAAATAATTTTAAAAGTTAGAGGAAGCGATTATTATTTTTTTCTTTAAAATAAGATAAGTATATATATATATATATATATATATATATTTAACTTAATTTTAGAAATATAAATATATTTTTTCTTTTATATAAAATTTTATTATTATGTATTTTTTTTAATTTTTATTATAAAATGTATATTTTCATTATGTTGTCGTATCTATAAAAGAGTGGACGAAAATAAAATAAATGCATAATTAAATTTAAAAAAATCAGTTAAACGAAAATTGCTAAATTATTTGGGATAATATTTTTAGCTCTCAATTTATTCTGTGAATAAAATAAATACTCCTCTAAGTTGAAGTTAATTAAAGTGTTAAGGGTTTTAATTGTAATTTGGTTGAATTGTCTTGCTTCAATTCTTCCCTCTCCCACGCACTCCTCATCACATTGACGATTGCCTTTGGAATCAGTACTTGAGCTCTTCATAGGACTCCATCAAAGTTTTAAAATTTCACTCTCGCTTGGAAGAAGAACGAGACCTGGTTGTTGGGGTTTCTTCTTTATCCTTAATCCAAGCGAAGAAGGAGAAAGGGTCATTAGAAGAAGAAGACGCTTCTGCTCTGTGCCAAAACAAAACAGTTGTCTCACTCACAGAAGAAGAAGAAGAAGAAGAATGTCGTCGTATTTCGGATTCGGGAAGGCTTCAGGACCCACCGCACCTCTCAAATCTCAACCTTCTTTCGGTTTCACCAGCTCTTCTCCTGTCCCCCCCTCTTCTTCACCTGTTCCTGCCTTTTCGTCACAATCCACGCCCAGGTACGTCAATTGTTCAACACCCTTTATTTTCTTTCATTAATCTCTTCAAATTAACCCCGAAAAAATTGATCTTTGTAGTGGTTTTTTTTACCCACGTGGAAATGGGGCGAGGAATTTGAACAACTAGCATTTAACCCTTTCCATTGCGTGTATTCCGCCGCTACGAGAGTTTCTTGTGTATTAGACCATGCTAGTCTTCCACAAAGCATTATATTTTGATTTGAATGGTTTTTATTGAAGAAGAGCGAAGGTGCCTGCCATTTGTACTTTGTTGCTTGCATTTTGGAAGGGTTCAAGCTTTTTTGTCTGCTTGTTGCATACGTGGTTATTTTATTCGATAGGGAGTAAGAGTGGGTATATGCGCTATCAGTGTTTTGGAGGTGAAAATTGGGGATCACATCAATTATACCACGACTTGCATGATTAAGGTATCTTGGGTTAAGAATCTACAATTGATGGGATGTAATGCTAAACATAGGTAGGATTTAAGTTCGACAGATAAAATGGAGAAATGCTTCAGATGTTATCTGTGAGGGTTAACTTTGTAAGTGAATCTGTGAATAGAATTTCTTTTAAACAACTAAAACACCGATGGTAATCTTGAGGTAGTTAATGCTGGGCAGTAAATTTCCAGAGTGAAGTATCAGTGTTGAAGTGGATCCACGTAACCATTAAAATGGCCCTTACTTTTGGTGATACCTATAAAATCCAATCAGTTCCATGTATACTTTTGGTGAAGCCCATTTTGTTTTAAATTTTCACAGACAAAAAAAGTTCCCATCCCATCTGTTATGGCAAAACAAGGAGCATTGTTTTCAACGAACTTATGTTTATTTTAGACAAGACATTCTTTTTGTGGCTATAGTTTATGTTTAAGATGTTCATTGGCTGATGCATTTTCATAGTTCAAATTTTCAGATCCATTGACTCTTCCAGTTGGAGTGATGGACAGAAAATTCTCTATAAAGATTTGGATACCCGTACCCCTCAAAGGCCTTCCCCAGTCACAACAGTTATTGCTTCTCGTGATTCCACAACTGGTGTTATAGCCAGAATTTCAAGATATCCAAACCCCGAGAGAAGATCTCCTCCTATATCTTATGGAGATGTTGAAGCTTTGGGGAATTCTGATCAAACTGTCATAAGAAATAAGTAAGATAATACCACCGTACACTGTAATACTATCACAATTCTATGAATTTCTAATGTATCAGGACGTTTGCATCAATTTTTTCTTCCAGTTGGAGTGATGGACAGAAAATGCTCTATAAAGATTTGGATGCCCATACGCCTCAAAGGCCTTCCCCAGGCACAACATTTGCTGCTTCTCGTGATTCCACAACCGGTGCTACAGCCAGAATTTCAAGATTTCCAAATCCCGAGAGAAGATCTCCTCCTATATCTTATGCAGATGTTGAAGCTTTGGGGAATTCTGATCAAACTTTCATAAGAAATAAGTAAGATAATATCGCCTGTAAACTGTAATACTATAATGATTTTATAAATTTCTTATGTATCAGGACGTTTGCTTCAATTTTTTCTTCCAGTTGGAGTGATGGACAGAAAATGCTCTATAAAGATTTGGACACCCATAACCCTCAAAGGCCTTCCCCAGTCACGACATTTATTGCTTCTCGTGATTCCACAACTGGTGTTACAGCCAGAATTTCAAGATTTCCGAACCCTGAGAGAAGATCTCCTCCTATATCTTATGCAGATGTTGAAGCTTTGGGGAATTCTGATCAAAATGTCATAAGAATTAAGTAAGATAATATCAGCCGTAAACTGTTATAATATAATGATTTTATAAATTTCTTATGTATCAGGACGTTTGAATCAAATTTTTCTTTTAGATTGGAATATTGTATGTATAAAAATATGTCAAGTCAATCCAGTCTTGGGATGGCGCTTAAATAATTATGTTAGTTGCTGTGTTGTTTTGAACTTTATCATGAACAATCTTTTGTCCATGAAAAATCCCATATAAGTTTCAGTTTGTTGAATTCAAGGTTGTATATAACTGAAATGAGTAAATGGAATGGATTGCTTAGCCCTTTTTGGTGTTTCCTTATGTTGAGTTTTCAGCATGACAATCCTTTAGATGTAAATTTAGACTCTTTAGGCTGATAGTACATGTCTAGCATCATCCTACATCCATGACTTTCTTGAAAAATGTGAAGTCCCATATCTAATTATTTGAGCCTGTTTAATGGTTCTTTTTCCAGGCCTTCTTTGTCTCCTCCTAGACTGGGAAGCACATCAAATGTTCCAAGGACTGTCCCTCATTCTCAAACCCACCAGAAATCTTTTCCGTTTGATGTTCCTGAAGCCACTGTAAGCAAGCCCATGAGCTCCACTGCTTCTAAAAGAACAAGATCACCTCCTTCATCATTTGCAGCCAATGAAACCCTTGAAGGAAACACAATTTCCTCTGAAGACAACTCTGAACGGTAAGTAGCTTGACTTTATTTTTAGTCCACTATGCATGTACTCTATCTAAAATTATTTATTTTTAAATGATCTTTCTTTCTTGTGTTGTTCAGTGAAATTTTAGCCAAGGCAAAGCGTTTAGCTCGGTTCAAAGTAGAACTAAGCAGATCTGAACAAAATATTACTGATATTCCCGACCAGAAGGCTTTTGCAAATAGACATGAACAGTTTGTGTTGGAGCCAAAATATGCGAAAGGGCATTTAGTAGATTCAGCTAGCAACTTTAGCAGTGGCCATGTAGTTTCTGATAATGAAGTCTTGGAAGCTTCCAATGTAATTATTGGCTTATGTCCAGATATGTGTCCTGGTATGTTTTCTTAGATTTTAAATCCAAGAGTGAACATGTGAGAATTGTTATATTTTGATCTGATGTCAAAGAAATTATTGGGATTCCTTATTTGTTTTTAATGTGGGAAGTGTATTCCAGAGAACCCCAATGCTAACTTAATTTTAGAATTTCTTTTACAAGTGAAAAAATGCTACACCACCGGAAAATTTAGCCCAAAAATTGATTTGTGTTTCAGAGTCAGAAAGGGGAGAGCGTGAAAGAAAGGGGGATCTTGACCAATATGAACGTGTGGACGGGGATAGAAATGTAACTAGCAGACTTCTTGCTGTTAAGAAGGTGATTTTCGTATTACCAAATACTACTGTTTTTCTTATGAAACTGCTGTCTACTCACTCGTTCAAGTATTATTTGTAACTTAAATAATGATTCATCACAGTATACTAGGACAGCAGAGAGGGAAGCCAGTTTGATCCGGCCGATGCCCATCCTGCAGAATACAATTGATTATCTACTCACATTGCTAGATCAGCCTTATGATGAGAGGTTTCTTGGCGTGTACAACTTCTTGTGGGATAGGATGAGAGCAATTCGGATGGACCTGAGAATGCAGCACATTTTCAATCAAGGGGCTATTACTATGCTGGAACAGATGGTACTTCTTGTGGCCATCTAATCATTGTTTGTTTTATCCATAAATGTTCTTAAATATTGGTTCTAGTCATCTCTTTTATGAATTTGTGTGCATGGTAAAGAGCTTAGATTCAAAATCCTTAGGTAAGAATTTACAGATTTACTACTTACCGATGGAAATACATATCTCCCATTATGAACCTAAAATATGGAAACAAATAATCCATCTGTTGTGCACTATGAAATTTTAGCAACATGAACTTATCAGTTAAGGACCTTGCATGGGTTGGACTAAAGCTCAAGTGTCTCTTGTTAGTCTAAATTAGTTGTCTGAATTAGTCTTGCTTTGTTGTACCAACCCTTATATATTTTTGAACTTGAGCATCTGTTGGTTTTTTCTTCAGAAAGTTTCCTTTTGGTTTAGTCATGTCTGGTCTTGTAACATTACTGCCATGAGTTATTAGTGACTCATTGCAACATGCATAGCTTGTCAGATGACTTGACTTTTCAGTTTGTTGGGATAATACTTTTGGGTATATAGTGATTGTACAATTAAGATTATATGCCAAATTCTTGCTTTTTATACGATAATAATACACAAAAAAGCCACATTATTACTCTTAACTGATAATGTCAAGTTTCTTTCCGCATAGTTCATTAAAATTATGTGGGTCCAGACAATTAATACCAAATATATAAATTTGGTGTTTATCAATTTCATAGTTGTATATTGGTAGATAACTTTTTTTGAAAAATCATTTAGATATATATCTAGAACATGCATATGCTTGTTGCAAAGCAGTATCTAATGATTATGAAGGCTAATGAAGCTCTGAATTTCTGTGGTTCCAGATAAAATTACATATCATTGCAATGCATGAATTATGTGAATACACTAAAGGAGAAGGATTTTCAGAGGGCTTTGATGCTCATCTCAATATTGAGCAGATGAACAAAACTTCAGTTGAACTGTTCCAGATGTATGATGATCACAGAAAGAAAGGAATAAATATTCTGACTGAAAAAGAGTTTCGAGGCTATTATGCTCTTCTTAAATTGGATAAGCACCCTGGTTATAAAGTAAGTAGCATTTTCCATACTTTGATTGGATGATTTCATTTGCTATAAAAAACCAAGGAACTAATCTAGTCTTGCTAGGTTGAACCTGCAGAACTCTCCCTTGAAATTGCTAAGATGACTCCAGAGATAAGGCAGACTCCAGAAGTTCTATTTGCCCGCAGTGTTGCAAGGTTTGTAATTCCTGTAGAAGTTACATATATGTATATATATATATAATATATATATATATATATATATATATATATATATATATATATATATATATATATATATATATATATATATATATATATATATATATATCCTGTTTCCAATCTAACCATGCTTTGGTGTTTGTTTTTGCAGAGCGTGCCGAACCAGTAATTTTATTGCCTTCTTTCGGCTTGCAAGAAAAGCAACTTATCTTCAAGCATGTCTAATGCATGCTCACTTTGCGAAGGTATTTGATATTCCTGTCTTCTGTTTTGTGCTCAACAAAGACCATATGATTGGACCTTGTCCATGTAAAGCTTAGGGCTGCCATGTATAGACTGAGCATGCTAAATACTCAATCATTGCAGGCAATTTAGGAAATTGCTCAAGTTGATTGGATACAAAGTTACTTGACTATATCTTACTCATTTTTGTGTAGATAATAGAGCATCTGTCACATTATGCAGTACATCTTACTCATTTTTCAAAGTGATAACTCTGTAAATTTTATTATTTTATTTTTACGTGATCCCTTTCAGTCTGTAATACATTAGTTGAATTCATTTTAGTAATGATTTTGGTTATGGTGTGACTAAGCTACTTTTGATGAGAACTCCTGACCTTTATGTCTTGTGTTACTTTTACCAGTTGCGAACCCAGGCGCTTGCTTCTCTACATTCTGGTCTACAGAATAACCAAGGAATCCCTGTTGCTCATGTTGCTAACTGGCTTGCTATGGAGGTATATTTATTGGATAGATTTGGATGTGTGCCATCTCATTTTTCCATTTTTCTTGTTTCAATGGTGAGTGTGGGTGCTGAGGGTGCTCGATAGATTCCCGAATTTCCAACTTCTCATTCATACACATTTTTGTTGTTTAATTAGGATGAAGGCATAGAAGGTCTCTTGGAGTATCATGGATTCTTGCTAAAAATATTTGAAGAACCTTACATGGTGAAGGAAGGTCCATTTCTCAATGTTGGTGTTGACTATCCCACAAAGTGTTCAAAACTTGTGCATAAGAAAAGGTCTGAAAGGATAATTGAAGATATTTCACTCTCAATTCAAGCAGAATCACCACATGTTGAGACTATGAAAGAGATCCAAATAAGGAAGACACACAAGCATGAACCACAAGTAGTTTCATCTGTTGAAAATGATAGTTCTATCCAAAAGCTTGATGAGGAAATTCCAGACGCAGAAGCTATTTACTCTCCTGAGGATGGTAAATCAGGAAAGGCATTTAAGGATGTTCAGGACAGTCGAAAAGATCAAGATATTTCTAGTCCTCGTCCATCGCCGCTGAGCTTCCCTTTTCCTAATAATATACCTGAACAACAACTTACTAGAATTGCTACCAATTCAGAATTGATTGGTCGAGGCTCTCCAATGAAAAACTTTCAGTTTAGTGTTGAACAAAATCCATTGGAGATTATATCAAAAGCAGCTCCACCAGAAAGTTCATTAGGTTATAGTTTTTCTGTGCCAACTCCTGTGGCCCAGGTTGTATCCAAGGATGAGTCTCTGATAATTCACCAAGAGTATGAAGATGAAATTAATGAAGTTAAAGAAAATTGTCAAGATGAAGAAATTACCGAGGCCAAGCTGAAGTTTTTCTTAAGGTTTTTATGCTTTGTTACTACCGAATGTTATATTGTTTTGCTTATGAATGAAATGTTTGCACGTATATACTATTTTTATGTCATTTTTCTAGTGTCTTCCTCTCAGGTTATGGAGGAGGCGAGCATCAAAATTAAGAATGTTACGTGAAGAGAGGCAATTAGCATCAAATGTTGCACTAGACTCTATACCATTGGGTCCCCCAATTCAACATTATATAGATGTAAGTATGACAGGATTTTTTGTGAACATGTATCTCTTTGACTTGGTTTATTTATTATTGACTTTGGTGGTTCCCTTTTTTGATGTAGCGACCTGGTAACTTTGATAAGTTTGACATCGATATAGCTATGAGGGAGAGATATGAAAAACACGAGAAGTCATGGTCAAGACTTAATGTTTCTGAAATAGTTGCCGTTACACTAGGCAGAAGAAATCCAGATGCTAAATGCTTGTGCTGGAAAATTGTTCTATGCTCTCAGATGAATACTGGGTATGAAATGGGGGCAGCAGGCACTTGGTTGACCTCAAAGTGCATGCCTTGTAGTGATGAAGATGTGGTTATTTCATCTCCTGGCTTGGTAATATGGAGGAAATGGATTTCTAATCAATCTGGCATCAATCCTTCCTGCTACCTCTCTGTAGTTAGGGATACAGCATTTGGTAGTCTAGATGAGGCAGTATCTGGGGCAGGTGCGGTTATGTTTCTTGTGTATGAGAGCATCTCATGGGAACTTCAGAGGTCTCATCTTCATAATCTTCTGATGTCAATTCCATCTGGGGCCTGCTTGCCTCTGCTGATCTTATGCGGCTCATACGATGAAAGGTTCTCTTCTGCTATAATTAATGAGCTGGGCCTTCAAAACATTGATAAATTGAAGATTAGTACCTTTCAGCTTGTTTTTCTCTATGAAAAACAGCAGATGGAACACTCGGGTGGATTTTTCAGTGATACACGATTAAGGGAAGGGCTGGAATGGCTGGCATCTGAATCACCCTCGCAACCCAACCTTGGCTGTGTGAAAATACGAGAACTTGTTCAGGGCCATCTTAATTCTTTCCCAGGAGTGCAGAACATTGTTATCAACTCCAACTTGGGGCCTAATGACTGCATCTCATTGTTCAATGAAGCCTTAGATCGCTCAATAAAGGAAATTGTGGCTACTGCCAGCTCAAATCCCACTGGTTGGCCATGTCCAGAAATCGGTTTACTTGACAAGTTTTGTGATGAGGATAGAGTAGTAAAAATGTGCTTGCCAACTTTGGGATGGAGCTCAAACGAGAAAGCCGAACCAATTATTTGTGCTTTGCAAAACTGTAAGCTCCCTACTTTTCCCGGTGATTTATCCTGGTTAGCCAGAGGTTCAAAAGCTGCAGAGGAGATAGAGAACCAGAGAACACAGCTTGAGAATTGCTTGATCCAGTACCTGACTCAGACTAGTAAGACTATGGGAATTTCTTTGGCAACAAAAGAGGCACGTGTCACAATGCAAAGCTGTGCCAGGCTTGAGCTACGTGGCTCAAACTACCATGTAGTTCCCCATTGGGGTATGATTTTTCGTCGAATCTTCAACTGGCGTTTAATGGGTTTATCTAGCAGGGAAATCTCCATGGCTTATATTTCAGAACATCATCATCATGTTGCTCTTCCAAATGTGAGACCTGAAACATCGCTATCTTATTATCCGGACACGTCTCTAGATGAAATAATCAGTGTTAGCTGCAACTCTCCTCTTCCCGTTAAGCATCAACCACTTCAACGTCTTCCACAGAGGGATTCAAATAATGTATTCCATGAGACTGTTAACCAGAGGGATGATGGTAGCAATATTCAGCTTGATAAATTACCTAGCATGGATTCAGCTACAACATTTTTTAATGGAAAACCAAATAAAGAAGCTGACAAGTTAAGCAAGTTATTGGAGCAATGTAACTTTCTGCAGGATAGCATAGATAAGAAGCTTTTTGTATACTACTAATGGGCACGTCTCTTTTGTATTTTCCATGTTTTGTATTTATCCTAAACCAAAGTAAATGTTGATTTATAGGAAATTTTGTACAATAGAAAATTGTAATGTTTTCCTTTTCCTTTGATAATATCAAAATTTATGGATATTACACACACAGTAGGGTTGAGACGTAGAATATTTGAAAACACTTTATTTTTTATCATCTTGTTAATAAAAAAATTACTAGTGCAATTGCGAAGGTGACCATGGCAATAATTAGTCTAACAGTGTGAAGATGTAGTGAGTACAAGAGATTATGTTGGTGCCGAGGTCTATATAATATGGGTGGAGGTGGCAAAATTATTTGATATCTGCAAATATATTTTCTAATTTAATGATTTTAAACCTTATTTTTATGATATTTTCTTAAAGTATTTAATCATTTTTATTCGAGACCCGACAATTACATGTATTTATAATTGATTTTTATTTACACACTTAATGAGTCAATTAAACTATTTTTAACAATCAGATGATGGTTATTGGTGATTTGCTCATTTGGTTGATCATTTTGTCATTTTCTTTAAAATTTCATATGCTAATTCATTGATAATTTATAATTTTAAATGTTTTACAATAATAGTCTTTTTTTAATTTTTTTTTTGTTTTAAAAAAATAGCTCTTTTACTTGTTTTAAATTATTTTTTTCCACAATGTCCTGGACATGATTGAGATGATATATTAATGGGTTTTTATTGAAAAGAGACGCTGTAAAAACAACATTTTTGTTTTCTTCCAAATTCATTTAACCAATTCTTAGTAGTTGAAAAAAAAAACGAAAAATTATCGAATAATTTACAATAATGAACGAGTCATAGTTTCACTACTTGAAACAAGTTACCAAAATATTTTTCTTTTCAATAAATACAAACATTCTCTAGATAAATATTGAAGATAAAAATCATTAAGCAATTCAATATTATTAAAAATAAAATTACAACTATTTTGAGATGAATACAGTAATATTTTGGAGGGATGTGCATATTAAAAAAACATGTGTGTGTCTTTCACGTCCTTCCATAATGGTATATCCCAAATAACATGGAACTCTGTTTAAGGATATTGCTTGATTAATGTGGCAGGCGTCGTAGGTCATTGCTCACAAATGTTGCAGTATGGTCCATCCATGGAGACATAATCATCACTCTCATCATTGCATTTAATGATTTTTTAAATCATCGTACCACAATAATTTAAATTCGTATTCTTTAAATATAAGAACTGTGCAATAAAGGAGGTAGACACTGAACAGGGTTATGATATTCAATGCTATGTGTAAAAAGAGAAATTGAAATCAGGATAAAAATTCATTCTTTTAAGACTATTCTTAAAATAACTTAATCCATGGTGCTTTCAAAGAAGCAAACCTAACATACCAAATCACGTTTACTCAAGTTAAACTTGCGTTTGATCCCAAAGATCACAGCCAAAATAGTTTCATGGGGGCTCAATAATCAGTACCATTTGAGAGTTCGTGAAAAATAAACATACAATAGATTTGGAAATTATTAATTGTTATCGGGCTGAAAAGATGCTTCCACTTTTCTGTTAAAGTCAGTCATTTGCTAAATGAAAATATGGCAGCAATTATTTGTATTCATTAAGTGGTGGCAGCACTCTTAATACAATTCTTCTATTAATTAAAAAATTCATATAAATCTCAAACACTTCATATTTCTTGGTGGTGAACAATTCATAAAAAGAAAATGGAAATTATGCCATTTTATTATTTGTAAAATGAAAATATGCTTGGCAATTAATTGCACTAGTTATTAATTTTATGAAAAGTGACAGCAACTCTCTTTCCAATATACCTTTCACTAATTCAAGAGACAAGCATAACCTTTACCTAATAAAAAAGATGTTAAAATATATAACCCTGACAATTTTATTACATTCATTTTATGGAATCTCAACACAATGAATGAAACAGTAATTTAATCAATTAAGATGTTAAACAAAAATGAGTTAATTGTTTATACCCACAACATTCATTGAGTCAGTCAATAATTGCAGTAAAGACAAGAAACTAATCTTGAAAAGCAATAAAAAGAATTCAGATGTTTCTAAAAGATACAGTGGATCCAGCATGAGAATGAGGATAATGGATTTACATTTCAAATAGCTCATGGCTTGCCTTCCAAGTTGACCATTGACTACAATGCAATGCAAATAGTTGTTGTCAATTAGTGACCAGCCAAACTCCTTTCTCCCAAGTTATTTATAGACCCCTTTCCAAAGTTTAAATTTGGAGAGTGGAGGTTAGAGCTAGCTACTCAGGAGGACAACTTTTAGTGTTACACCTGAAGTGCTTCTGTATGGTTATGACAAGCAACTTGAATTAGTAAAAGATTGAGAACAGAAAATAAAAAATAAAACGACCATTAATCATTTGTGCTTTCTACATTCTGAAAAAGGTCCTTCAGCTGCCAAGATAATGCACCTCAAACCAGCAATCAGCAGCAGCCTGACAAAATTTAGTCAGCATTTTGGCTTGATGAATAATAGAGGCAAACAATCAAAATTTATGGCTGTAATGCAGAAGATTGAAGAAGAGTAGACAGGGAAATGTACCATCAAGGAGAAAGTATAAGCATACATACTGAAGCTGCCATAAAGCCTCTCTCCAATCACTGTAAATGAAATTAAATTAAACTATAACACAAATCCTAATAAAATAAGCAAGTGAAATGCTAGCAATGCACTATCTTAAAAATTTCATTTGAACACATTCTCAATTGATCGAAAATCATAAAATTCTGTAGGTCACAATCCCTAATTAATGAACCTAACCCATAATTTTATAGTTTTCAATCAATTTTAACCAATAAGGAGTGTGTGGCTAGCACACCTCACTGATCAATATGAAACAATGCTAGTGTGACTGTACCAATTCTATTGATGTTTGACATGCTGGAGGAGAAGGGACCACTATGGCTGGGCTTCTAGTTGAGACCACGTGCTGTGGACAGGGCTGTAAATCAGAGAAGCCATTCCTTACTGAACGATAAACATCCAGCCCAGTAGTGGCAGATATTTCAGATGCACCCTTTACCCTCTTGCTCTTGCTCCTTGTTACAGTACTGACATTGATCTCACCAGATCCAAGTCCTGATGTACCTGACTACAAAAAAAAATAAAAGGATTAGATAATAAAAAAAGTTATAAGATTAGATAGATTCAAAAATTGTATGACAAGGGGATTTTAGCTCTTCCATAAAATATAACACTCATTAAGGGAAAGCAGCATTTGAGACAAAAGGGTAAGATACTGCTGTGTATTTGAAGTATTAGTTTCTTGAGGTTGGTAAACTATAGATCCCCGTGTGGTAGTCATGAGTAACCAACCCTTAAAGCTGACTAAACTTAATCATCAGTAATTTATAAGCCTCTAACAACATCTAAAAAACCTAAATTACAACCAGAATAGGAATAGCCTGAGAAACTTCTGACGGGGCTCCACAGAATAGGTCACTTCTTTCTTATCACCACTAAACATTTGGGGGCTTTTGGGGGTTGAGAATATTTAGGGACATTTTAAGTCTAAAAGCTATACACAATACAAAATGAAGAAAACAATAAAAATAGATAAGGCAAAATAATTACTCAAGTAATCATACATTAGACAGGCCTTTGATCTGAACAATAATAATTGTTATATCATCTGTTCGACCCTCATGTTCTAACCATAGTTTATAAGATTCTCCAGCAATGGCAGCACATGCATCACGGGGGTCTGAATAACTTGCTGCCTGAACGATAAAAGAAAGCATAGAATTGATCAATATAAGACATTGAATAATAGTTCTACTTATCAGATTTAGTAGCAACCCTAGTGCTAAAATTAGACGAGTTAAATAGTGGGAGGTAATTTTTACGGAAAACAATTCACAATAATTTGTGAATGTGTTAAACAGGACAGCAAACATAGGTTATTCGCTTATGCTAATGCAACAAATCAGAGATGGTCATCGGCAAGCTGTGGAAAATTTTTTTTTTCTCACTAAACAACCTACACAGATTGAGATATGAAAACATTTAGGATCTAAATAAATTATTAACAATTAATATTTAGTCCTGTGAACCATTTAAAGATCAAGGTTACATAATGATGTCAGATAAGGCAAATGAAAAGCAACACGCCTTAAAAAGGAAAACTCAATAAAAATTCATCTTAAAAAAAAAAAAAAAAAACGCTAACATCTTTCCGGTTATTGTCATGGGCCAAAAGTTGCCCTTTAGCTGGGTCAAAAGTACCCTTTGCCTGGTCCGGCAGGCTTCGTTGGAAGGGATGCGTTGAAAGTCCCACATGGCCTACCTCATATCATTTGGTATGATTTAAATACATGTTACGCTACTCAATTGGTTTTATGTTGGAACCTTAACAACATTAACTAATATGTCCTTCTCTCATAAGAATAAGTAGGTATTAAATACCATTAAAACACATTGTCGTCATAAGATCTAACAACTGAAGCTAGGCAAACATAACAAGAGTGAAAAGGAATAATAGGGATATTAGCAACCATCAATTTGAGTTGCAAGACAGAATATGATAATGAGTTAAAAACATTATTCCAGGCAAGGCAACAAATATATATATAACATTAAAAATTAAAAATACATCATAAACCAAAATCTTCCACAGTAAAAAAAAAAAAAAACTCACGTCCATACTTTCAACTAACTATATAATTGCAATTGCACCATGCATCCTCACCAGAAAACATACAACTTCATTAAAGCTTCAGAAGGAACAGAAACCAGGTCTTGCAAGAAATACAGTAAGTAAAATTCGGCCAATGAAGATATCATCAAAATAATTACTAAAGTTTACAAATCAACAAAAAGGTTGCAGGCCATACCATATCAACAACATTTTGGCTGGATAGGAACTCAAATACACCATCGCTTGCAACAACAAAGAAAAGATGGTTAGGTGTAAGCTGAACCGTTGACACCTCAGGAACAGCAATGACACCAATAGTTTCAGCCAACTTATCCCCTACACTCCTTGTAAATGCAGCTCCAGGAACCATCCCATTCTGAACCCACAACCTAGGAGGATCATCACCCTGACTCTCTTCGTCACCCCAAGTCTGAATATCCGGATCCTTATGCCCTTCCACCTGATCAACACTCAAAACCCTTGCCCCACAAAGCTTCACTCTTCCATACTCATCTCTCCTAAATGGTGTCTGATCAGAAGACAAGTCCTCAGCAACAATCCGGTTCCCATCCTTAACAGCCATCACCGCTCTGGAATCACCAACATTAGCAACATAAAGGGTATCCCCAATAACCAGCACCGTAATTGCAGTGGTGCCACTCAAGGAATCATCAATCTCATTCTTATGCAAGTCCTCATTTGTGGTCAAGAATGCAGAAGTGTAAGCCTTAACAGGGTCCTCCAATAATGCAATGTCACTAGACAAATTTTCCACCAATCTATCTTTAACAAAGTTTGAACACTGGGCACCGAATTCGCCATGCCCATCATAGACACCAAAGAAATGGACACTCTGGTTACCTTGGAACTGTGTCCTAATGCAGAAACTATCCTGGTTTTCTTTATCAGGTGAATCAGGATAGTAGCCCCTCTGAGTGAGCACAGAGTATTCCAAAGTGAAGTTATGTGAAGGGACAGGAACAAATTGCAGTGAACTCTGAGTAAGAATGTGCTTCCTTTGGACACTGTAAGGGCCAAGTTCTCTTAAGTCTCTGGAGCCACCCACTGATGGTGAAGGGTAACGGGTACAACACTTACCATGGACACAACCCATGTTTGAATAGAGAAGCTAAAAACAAGGCCAGGAGATTAAAAAAAAAAAACAGAAAGCAAAGTCAATGTGGCTCCAAGCTTGAAACTTTGAGAAACATGAAGAAACAAAAACAAACCCTAGTGACAAGGAGGGGAGAAATTAGGATTTTGAGGAGGAAATTGTCGTGAGTGGCTGACAAAAAGAGAAAGGGTGCGTCAAGAACTATGGAGAAGTAAACAAAAAATGGGAATGATTTGAAGGAGGCCACACAAACTGAAAAGAAGGTGGGGGTGAAAAAAGGAGAACCCTAGAAGGAGAGGAAGGGTTACCCCACCAAAAGGTGTAGACATTTTGGGGTTTGATCAAAGGAAAATGGGTGGGTTGGCATTGAGAACGTGTGGAGTGGGGCTGGCGAAAGGGAAAGGAAGAATTGTACTTTTCGTTTGGGAGCAGAGAGGGAGCATAGCATCGAAGGAAGATGGTGGAAGGAAGCAAGAGTCCAAAGGGAATGGGTTTGTGGTTTGTTCTCCCAAGAGAATGACAGTGACACACGCACACGCAGACACTCTTACAGCGACACTATTTCAGATTCTATTCTATTCTATGAGTGCATGGTTGGGTTTGTCCACAGAGAAAACCCTTATTCCAAGAAAACACACCCCAATAAAACCAACAACACACAATTCACTTCTTTTTCTCTCTCTTCTAAAACTCAAATATTATCTGTCCCTATATATAGCACTATTTTTAAAAACTACGTTTTTCTTTTATAAATTCTAGGAGTATTTCATTAATTACTTTCACCAAAATTTCATCAATTAGTTTATAATTTTTAAAATCAATAAATAATAAATTAGTCTTCCTATCATAAAAAATGAACATAAAATAATACAATATTTACATCAAGAAAAAAGTTAACTTTAGACTTTATAAAATTAAGAAATATTTTTCCTCTTCAATACAAAGAAAAAAGGCAAAAGAAACGTTACACTTTTAGCTGTAACTTATATATTTATTTTTCATTTATATAAGAGAAAAAAATCATTTTACAAGATCATTTTTCCTAATATAATTATTTACTTTTATTTTTATAAGAATTTATATATATATATATATATATAAACATTTTAATCACTATTTTAATAAAATATTGTGATTATAAAAATTAAATAAATAATTTAATATTTTTTAATATAATATTATTTAATATGTTTAAATTTAAATAATTTTAAAAAATTAAAATATCTTATAATTATATATTAAAATGTATATTATTAAATAAATAAATAATATTAATTTAAAAAGTTATTTCATCAATAAAAATATATTTAATTTTAATTTAATTATTTATTATTTTTAAAATGAATATCTTTTATTTTTCATCTAACTTTTCTTTTAAACGAATAAATATATTTTTTTTCACACTTTCTTTTTATACTATCAAACATATCCTTAAAATAATGATTTATTTTAATTAAATTATGACAATATATTTAGTTTAAAAATAATATTAAAATTTTAAAATATTAACTTTTTTATAATTTTTTAGTAGAGTGATAGTCGTATATTAATTTATTTAAAAATATCATATTACGCAAAAACTTAAATAAAAATTATAAAAATTAAAAGTAAAGAAATTTTCATAAAGAAAAAATTTAAAAATAATCATAAATAAAAATAAAAATAAAATAAGTGTAAATATTTATTAAAAACATGTGATGGAAAATAATGTCTATCTAATTAAAATTATAAAAAATGTGAATATTATTTTATGGAAATCATTTCTATTTTTAGATATAATGAAAAAAAAATGTAATTTTTCGTTAATGTTATATTAATTAATTGGAAAACATATTTGGACATCCAAATACCGTTCAATACATAGTCGAAGAGATAAAAATACAGAACAGATAAATGATAAGATAGGAAAAAATAGAAAAAAGATAAATATATTAATTTTTTTGGTTTGAAATTTTATAAATTTTTACTAAGTTGGTACTACTGATCTCAATTGTAATATTATTATCATTGTTATTGAGAGACAAATCTTCATACATTTAAGTTTTTTTTTGTTTTTTTTTTTTCTAAAACCTTTTGTAACTTGTGTGTTTGAAATCTTAAAAGGCAAACACATGTTATTTAATAGGGTGATATAACATCCTTTCAAAATTTTAATAATAAAAAAAATTAAAGTATCGGTTTTGGAAATTCAAAATGTTTAATCAAAACTTGGATCACGTAACGGTTTTTAAACTGGTCAAATTTGAATGGTGGAAGAGTATAAATATAATGCAAAACTATTGGGTTATTTTATCCTTTATATATTTTTTAATTTCAATTTACGTTTTTGTTTAATTATACTGATCAAGGGTATCAAGGAGACAAATCATGTTTTTATTTTATTTGAATGGAACAGTTTAATTATAAAAATATTTGTATTTTGCATATAGTAATTAATTGGTATTGATAATTTAAAGCATGTTTAATTGTGTTTAAAATTCTTTATTTACATTTAAACCTTGAAAAGGAAAAATGAATCCATTAATGAGGCATTTAATCAAAGTCAAGAATTCATCCTCTAATCAATGGAGGAATTGGTAGGTGCTGAGTCATTTCTTCCCCCATATTTTGCAAACTTACATCCAATCTCAAATTATTGAGACATCACTTTCAAGTTTCAAAGTAAACTGAAATACCCACACAAAAAAAAAATGTTATGGAATCATTATACTATTTACTAAAATCAATAATTGTAATATTAGATCTCATGATGATGAAAGAAGTAGCACCAATAATGAATATGATTTGAATTATCATTAACTACTATTATAATAGTTATGATTTGGATTTTTTAAAATAAAAAAATGCATAAACATGAGTTGGATTTCTTAAAATAAAAGTAAAATACATGAATATAAAATTTACGATTAATATAATAGTTATGATTGAGTTTCTTAAAATAAAAATGCATAAAAATTTCTTAAAATAAAAACTACATAAACAAATTATTAAAATTAAAAATGCAAAAAAAAAATTATTACATATAAAATTATGAAATAAAAAAATAATAAAATTATGCATAAAAAATTTCTTAAAATCAAAAATGCATAAAAAAATTTTGGATTTCTTAAAATAAAAGTAAAATACATGAATATAAAATTTACGATTAATATAATAGTTATGATTGAGTTTCTTAAAATAAAAATGCATAAAAATTTCTTAAAATAAAAACTACATAAACAAATTATTAAAATTAAAAATGCAAAAAAAAATTATTACATATAAAATTATGAAATAAAAAAATAAAAAATTATGCATAAAAAATTTCTTAAAATAAAAAATGCATAAAAAAATTCTTAACAAATGCATTTTAAAAAAATAAATATAAAAAAAATTTCAAATATAAAAATTCTTAGATATAAAAAATGCATTAAAAAAATAAATATAAAAAATTATGCTGGCTGTGGGGTTCGAACCCACGCGCACTTGTGTGCAGAAGATCTTAAGTCTTCCCCCTTAACCACTCGGGCAAACCAGCTGAATACAATAATTTTAGTAACAACTAAATTTATTCAAGTTTTAACTTACACATAAAATATTCTTACAATTATGGTCTTTTTTTTTATAATAATTAAAAAGGTAATCTAAAAAATCATATGTATTATATTCAATATGAATTTAAATGTTTAAACATAAATATTATACATTTTTTAATCACGTGTCGTGGTCCTAAACTGAGCAATCTATCTAAGATTAAAAATTAAAAATAAAGATACTAAAGTTCTAATTGTAATCAACTAGCAAAAATATTTTTTGTTAATTTATTGAGAGAAGAAATTGTAACGTATAAATCTCTCATTTTAAGTAAAAAAAACATACTTTTTCAAAATTTATTGTATCTCATTTATTATTGGATGAAAGATTTTCAAATTTTATTGTGTCTCATTTATTATTGGATGAAGACTTTTTATAGTGTATATTTTGATATGTTTTAAAAAATTGTTTAAGATGTTAAAAAAATCTGTTTTGTTTCAATCTAAGATAATCATATAAAGTTCGTTAAAAAAAGTTAATCTAAATGGTGAGTTTAGTATGAAAAGGCAGACATATAAAAACTCTAAACCTACAAATAAATTTCTCTTAAGAAACTTCATTTTTTTTTTCTTGAAAAAAATTATCCGACCGTTGGCTATAAGAGTAAAACAAAACTTTCTATAAGCGAGATTTATTTTTAGGTTTGATGAGGGGTCTCCTCTTTTCTCCATTCTTTTATTTTTTTTTTCACCCTATTTTGTTTGTTTATCTGTCTATTAACACGTTTTCAAATATAATACATGGAACAAAACGTGTTTTTAGTTTGTTTGGAAAACACAACTTAAAAGATACATTGTATCGCTCAAAGATAGATAATACACACACCTTTATGTTGTGCATTGAGAAGGGTTAAAGAGAAGAGGTAAAAAAAAAAAACATATAGCGAGGATAGAATGATAATTTTTGTTAAGGCACGAGGATGAAATTAGTGAGGAAACTGATGGGCTTTTCAGAATAATTTTTGAATTTCATAAAGGCCCATGACTCCATGGTAATGGAGCAGAGGGGCATAAAAAAGACGTATCTAAGTTGTGTAAGAACATGTTGTTCATTTGGCAAATCATATCATCCTAAACATCCTCGTAACAGATCCTGCACAGTGAGAATTGTATATGAAGAACTTAGATTTAAAAATTGAACTTTGCAATGAAAGGAATTAAAGCAATATATAAGTTTGTTTAAAAGAGCATTGCGAAACAGAAACACATATGAAGTGTTTAAATATAAGCTGAAAAAAAGAAGAGGACTTTTACAGGCACTAAGAGATGCTAAAAAATCTTAGGCGTGGGAAGGGTAAGTGGGGTGCATGATCATGATCCTCCACCACTTACTATTCAAAAATCAATCCTCTAATACTTACTACATCTCTTACCTCTTCCTTTCTTTCTTTCTTTCTTTCTTTCTTCCCCCCACTAAAACAATATATTCACCACCATAATAAACCAACCAATACCAGTCACATCCTGCCACGTCACCACCCCTAATTTTTTCACCTACACCCTACCTCATCCTATTACCTCTAATGTCCACTTTTCCGACGAAGCGGTGAAAACGTTTGAAACACCACACTCCCAGAATCCGGGAACTGGTCCATGGCGCAACTCCTCAACTTCATCCCCATGGGCTCCACCGCACCCGCCACCTTTCTCCACACCTCGTTCCCCAACGACGTTGTCGACACCGACATCGTCCCTGGTCGGAAAATCTGCACAACCTTCCTCAACACGTGGACTACGTCCACGTCACCCGACCAGGACCCCACGCACTCGAAACTCGCGTAGCTGTAACCCTCCTCCGGCGTCACGTGAATCGTCGAGTACCACTCCCCGTCCATGCCGTTCATCGAGTACCCGCACGGGTCGAAGGCGAAGTCGCACACCAGCGCGTGCGGGTTGATTCCGTCGATCCCCGTCAGCTCCGTCATTTCCCTCCCGGCGGAGTCCCCGCTTTTGCCGTCTCCGGGGCGGCGAAAAAAGTTCCTGGCGAGGACGGGGTCGAGGTCGGTCATGCAGATTTCCATGGTGTAGTTCTGGTGGTAGAGAGCATGGGAGTCACTCGTGGCGGTGAACACGTGCCAGGCGTGGGAGGATGATTTGGAGGGCATGATGGAGGCTTTTCGGAAGCATAAGTTGGGAGGGAGCGTGGTTTCTATGTAGGTCACTTCGTCGTTGAAGCTCGTGTGAGGGAAGGGTTGTGACAATGGGAAGATGAAGCTTCCGCGAGTGTAGCGGCACGAGGATAGCGTGAGACCGAGGTGGGTGTGGGCGTAGAAGATCAAGGGTGTCATGGATTTCAGAAGCTGCGTGGTCCCACACGTTTTGATGATGATCTTTGTTGGGTACACAAAGAGACTCGATTCCGATAACACATAAGCATCAAAGTAGGAGTTTCCAACGGCTGAAACCACAGTGCATTGAACCGCTTGTAGGGTTTGCTGTATGCAATGAAAGTCGAGTTTTCGGAGACCCAGTTGAAGCATGGCTGGGTCGTCCCCGAAGAAGTGAAGCTCCAAGCGCTTCTCGAAGCCTTCGAAACCTGAGAATGCAAATGCCATTGAAGAGAATGTGTTGAAAGGTAATGGTTTTTGTTGTTGTTGTTGTTGTGGTGGTGGTGGTAAGAGGAAGGTGAGGGAAAGAAAGGATGGTGACTTGGATTTATAGGTGTGTGAGAGTGAGGAGGAAGTAGGGTTTAGAAGAGAGGTGTGAGCATGCGGGTGATGGAACCAAGAATGATGATAGTAGGCATAATGAAGTGAATAGGATGATGATATGCAACAATTTTGTTTTGTTTTTTTACTTCATTCTTCTCTACCTTCCTTCACAGACACCAACAACACACCATGCTCATTCATTCATTCCTTCTTCCTTTGTTTTCTCATTCCCTCCACTCTCCTCCCTCACCCTAATCACTCTTTCATTCTTCCAATTCTGCGTAACTTCCAATGATAAACACAAATAAATTACACTGCTTTTCCCTATTTTTTCCTAATATATTTACAAGACTGAAAAGAAGGCTCCTCACTACCACCTTAATCTTTCGTCACCACCATCAAATCTTTTTAAAATATAACTTGTTATAAGATTTGTTTTTCTAGATTAATCTTTTGGAGATTTGATGAGATTATCTTTTAGGATAGATATCTGATGGTTACGTAATATTTTATAACTTGAACTCTTAACTATTTTAATTCTGAATAGATCGTTATATTCTAATTGTTCTCTCTCTCTCTCTCTCTCTCTCTCTCTGTATATATATATATATATATATATATATATATATATATTAAGAGTATATTTAAGAATAATGAAAGGATTTGACCGTATTTTCCTTTTTCTTAATAAATTAGGAAGTGTGAAGACGAGTATTGAGAGGTTTAACTGGAAAAATATCGACTCGTGGTTTAAAACTTCAAATATTATCTTCAACAATGTGGGCTCTTTGGTATATAATGTTAGTTCCATGTCTTGCTTGCTAACTAAAAATTTAGTTTAAAGTAAAATTATTTAAATTTGAAGTTTGAACGATATGTGGGGTTAATTTGACTAGAATGATTGGCTAAACTGATGATGAGAAATACCATAAATAATTGTGTTGAAACCATAACATACACTGCTTTTCACAATCACAGAGAAACTGGAGATTTAGTAGGAGTTCAAGACTTTGTTCATTCAAAGGAATTTGATTTGGTGAGTCAAAACTCAGCATTCAACTTAACTATTTCAATGATACTTCCATTAAAATAGAGACATAATAATCATAAACCGGGGCTAGATGTTGTATTGTTTTTCGGTTAAACAACAATTATGAACTATGTAGAGATAATTCATGGACCAGTTTAATCAGAGCTCTAGTTAAAAACAGGGTAAACAGAAAATTTTGCTACCAAAAAGTAAAATTAGAAGTGAAAGACCCAATCACTTGGGACTCTGTTTGATATGAGCATACTCTGATATAGATAATGGCCACTGCATAATGGGAAAGTGCAGACACCTCAGTTGATGGAGACATCTTTGTCTATTGCTAGGATAGCAAGTGTTAATTAACCAAAATCTTGACGTGCTCAAAATATCCTCCATATTTGGTGCTAGAATAATAATAATAATTACTATTTTGCAGAGGGAAAACTATGAAGGAACAAAATGGAAAAACCAAAAGAAATCAGGCGTGTCAGGTAAATAATGAAAATATCCTTGAATTGGGGAGGCCCTATACGTGAATGAAATGAAAAGCACCAACATCATTTTTATACTTCATGCAGTTTCATGTACCTAGGTGGCATTATCATTATTTTTTATAATTTAACAATTTGATTTCTGCATTTAACAAAGCATGCATGCACACTTGTTAGCCGTGTCAGCATCAAAGTTAAAACGATTCTCTTTTATCCTCCAAGTGATTAGTTTTAAAACATTGGTTCATAAAACAACTAAATAACATTCATCATTGTGTTACTATGAAAGTTGAACATTTTCAACATTAAAATAATTCAGATGCTTATTCATGCTTCTAATAAACTTGTATGCACTGCTCAACAACAGTTTATAAATGACATTTTACAATTGTTGTTTTCTAAGCAAACCCCAGGTCAAATATAATAACTCTCTTGTAACTTGTTGGGACATAAAGTTGATTTGGATCATAATGTTTAACTAGTCTGACATAGAAGTAACAGTAATTTTGAAGTAAAAGGAAGTAATTAGTGCTCCATGGTCTTTTAGAGGAAGTTTTGGTAACCTGTCTCTGCCGACATGTAAAACTAACTACTCCATCATATAGGTGGTCTCCTTGACTTTCAATTTACGAGTATTGTAGACATTATATCAATAATAATAGCAATTCACCATGATCAACAATAGAGAAGCTTCTCCACAGTATGAAGACAGGTAGAAGGTAGTATTCAAAAATGAAAAGAAAAAGTATGCAAAATCTAGCATACAGTTCCAATACAACAGAAGGGTATAAAGGGGAGTGAATAAACTAAACTTTGAGTAGATAAAGGTTGGGGGGAAAGGCAATGATGAAAAATTGTGAGTTAGAATAAAAATTTTTCAGTTTTGAGGGGTTGAAATGAGTAGAATGTATGTCGTCATCAATAAATCTTATGGTTGTGGCTGGCAGCCACCATAATGACCTCAATATCCACCTCTTTGTGATGCACGCGCACTACCAAACTCAAAACACTATCTCACAAGCCCACACTTAAGTTCTCTCACTCGCAAGGCAAACCAAACCAACCACACGCGCAAGCGCACACAAACACAAAAATTGGTTTTTGCAATGCGTACCTACAAGAGATAAAATTGGTCAACCTCTTTGTTGAATCAAATCTTGTTTCAAAATTCCCCAACTCAAAGCAAAAACTCAACCAGGTCTGCCACCTTTTTCACATAGAAAGTTTCAAGCGAAATCCTCGAATTAATTTTTGGCAAGGATATTTTTTCAAAAGAGTGAAAAGTTTGGAGTTGAAACCCATCTTAATCTTAAAGTTTGGTCCCACTAAAAGTATATTCACCTTTCTAAACGCCACATATTGTTCACCCTCCACCTCATTCATTCCCTAGCTACCCCAAATCATCATAATAATGCAAACCCCAAACCCATGATTGGTCCCACTATGTGCCCCCGAGACAACCACCGTGGATGACCCCACAAGGCTACACATCATCTAAACATGTGTCCCAACTTGATGGCACAACAAGGTCCATCTTTGTTTCTAGTGTTAATGAGATTTGAGGGACATGGTGTCCCCACTCAGCCCTTAACTGCAAGACAATGCCATAAGTTGGCAAGGAACAAGCTGGCTTTAGCCGCCATACTTGCTTGCATGCGCAAGTTTCAGCATACATGAAGCCAATTGGCACACAAGCACAAAAGTGTTCTTGCAATTTCATTTTACAGGACTGCAGCTACACTACTAATGAGCATCACTGTATCATGCGCACAAAATTTGCCAAAATGCTTCATCAATACCCCACCAGGCTGAACTCAAAATTTGGAATATATATATATATATATATATATATATATATATATATATATATATATATATATATATATATATATATTAAGGGAAGCCATGAAAAGTGATTGGAGATCTTCATTCATTTTTTTTTCAAAAAAAATCTAATTGTTGCAGCTTAAATGGTGCAGGAATGATAGTTTTAGTCTTTCTTTTGACATTAATATATCCTCCTCTACAAACGTGACATGCTGAGCAAGATAAACAGGAATTTAAACCTGTGTACTCAATGGTATATTGAATGGAATGAACGAACTGATATGAGCATAACGTTCTATTAATTCTTTAATAATACCCCACCTCATCTGTTAATTGATTGTTAGACTGTGATATAGCAGTTCTGATCAAAGAAGAATCTTAATGATTGTATGAACATGCTTGACAAAAAATTAGGATAAGTGCATGATTAGTAATAATTTTAATTTAGATATATTTGTTTTTGATAAGTTTTTTCATAGTTTAAGTCAAATACGTAATTAAATGTATAGATAAATCTAAATCTAGGAAAGATATTCTTGTGCAGGATGGTTCCCACAGGAATCATTCCTCGTAGGTGTGCTGAGATTTTTTGAAACAAACAAGACATGCTGTGAACTTTTAAGTGGGCAATCTCTTGAAAATAGAAAGTGCCCCCAGAATTAAAATAAAATATATAGACGCAATCCAGAAAATTATTTCAGTGGATTCCTTGTGTGATGTTTAATATTAGTGTAGACCTCGAGCAGAGGAAAATTTATGTGTTTTTGGTGGAGATAAAAGATTGGCACATACATTGAAATGCATAGCATAATATGATCCCATGCTCTCTCATACACGCCACATCATTCCTCTATGTGTATGTGTGTGTCTGTTTTGCAAATTGGAATCTGTGTTGTGTTGATTGTTCCTGGGAAGCATCATTCTGGTGTGTGACCTGCTTCTCTCTCTTGTCTGTCACCTGTCTTATTCGTCTTCTTTCCCGTACAATGCAAGTTTAGTGTACAGGGAAATCCTACCCAATCATTCCCTCTTTCAACACACCGCACAACCATAGTACCATCTTCACTAAAATTCATGTACTATCTGTTACTTCTTTTTATTCAAGTTATATTTATGTGTTTTAAATCTTCATAACAACTCATGAATAACATTTTGAGACTCCCACTCATTTAATACATTTTCATGGACTAATTTGCATTACTAATGATTTTATCAAAGACCATGTTCGTACAAATTCACTTTTTAAGGATTAATCATGTGCTAAAAATGTAGGGAGGATGATCATGTCACATGCCTGTAAACTTAGTGAGGACTATTTAGAGTTGGATGAAGTAACTGTTTTAAAGACTGAAAATTGATTGTGTTTAACTAACATAAATTTTGGCCTGTAAATGTAATGTCTGATGTTGTGTTTTATATGGTGAAATGGCACTTGAGTGGATGACATGAAAGATGCCAAAACTGCAGCTTTGGGGTGTGTTAAGTAAGACTTGAGAAGATAAGATCTCTTGCCCAGTGACTAGGTTAACAACTGTGACGTCTGAATCTGGTTTTCATTCTGCAAGCATGCATGGTTGGAATCATTGTGAGTTGCATTTTTTGTCTTTCCAAATTCTTGTGCTCATATTTTGCTATTGCTCTTCAAAAGCACTGCCATGTGCAAGCTCTTTACACTGCTTTTTCATCACATTTGCAGATTTTTTTTTTTTTTTTACTCGAATAAGTTTTTAGTATATATTTACTCTTTTCGCATCATATATATTTACATTTTCGATGATATATAACTAACTGTTCGAGGTAGACAAAATTTAGCTAATTAGTGGTGATCAAGTTTAATGTCTTGAGTTTCTTGCGTGAGTTAATTTTCAATTTTAATTGAAAAGTAATATATAATTAAAATAATAAAAGTAGGTTTGTTCTTATATCACCCTCCCCAATCATGACAGAATCTCACAAAGTTGAAGATAATAATAGCCATTTTCCTTCCAAATCTAGCCATTTTGCTTCCTGGAAGAAAGTTCTGGAGCAATAACTCTCATTTTTAATAAATAATAATTGACTAAATAGAACCCTAATTCTAGTTGATTAATCATTAACCAGCTTATAAATACCCAACTACTCTACTGATAGTGGAATCTGAGCAAGTGCTGACATAAACATGGTGTCATTCCAACTGATGAATTACACTTTGCTTGTTAGCAGGAGATCAGGAACACCATCGGTATTTTTTTTTATATAAAGATAAAATATTTTAAAATATTATTTATTAAATCCTAATTTTACGGAAAATGTTAGCAAAAGAAGAAAAATGGGACATGATAGAGTCCATGTCCATGCTGAATTGCTGATAAATAGAAAACAATAATTAATAAGAAAAAACAAATTGTAGTGACAGATATGAAATTTGATATCTTGTTTAGTGAGTGAGAGAGAGAGAGAGGTTATCATATGTTCCCTCTGCTCCAAACTTTCTTCATCCCTCTCTCCAATTTATTCCCAACATCCTTAATTTTTAGGTTTCACACAACCCGAATCTCTTGGGCATTGAAAAAGCCTCAATAACATTGTTAATAATATGATCCTATGTTTGGTTTTTTAGTGTAGAAAACAACGAATAAAGTAGCTACTGAAGGAATTAAATAGCTTGGCATGCGCAGAATATGAATTAGAAATGGTTATTGAAATCATAACATGAACTCTGATATATTTTTTTTTGTTTGTTTTGATGCATTGGATTTCTTCAACTTTTTTTAACCCTTTAGTTGATAGGTGTCTGAAATGTAAGGCATGCATTAGAAGGCACATGAACTTTTTCTATCTAAGATTCTGTATGTCCCAACTAAAACATAAACAAAAATGAATATATTAATTAGTGTATTGGGGAAAACAAATAGGGAGACAAGACTCTTAAGTAAGAATTGTTTAGAGGTAATACGAGATTAGGAAAGGAGTGAATCTTAATATAGATATGGATATTATAAAAGTGTTATTATAAAGTTGATGTCTTATGAGTATATTACATATACATAAGGTGACGTGAATAATGTTTACATCTTACTGGGGTCACCCACTCTGTTTATAATTAATGGATGAAAATTATTAAGGCTAGGTTGCCACACTCATTAACACAGATATTATGGGCTATTATTTAGTTAATTAAGAAACAGACCTAATATTAATGATGAAATGCATCGGTTTAAAAACATGTTCTTATCTTCTGTTTCATGTTTCTTGTTGAAAGGTTTGTACAAACTCTTTTTCTCTATTCTATTGAATTCTCCTAGTTTCCATTTTTAGTTTTACAATGTGTGAATTAAAAATTTCTATAGAAGGATGTTAATAATCATGATAAAGTCTATTCTTATTTTGATATAAATAATATTTTCTATTTCTTGAAAAAAATCTAAAACAAAATTCTATTTATGTTGGATTTTCATTTGAAGAAATCGGAAGCTATCATAGCATAGTTTTGGGAATTTTGGCCAAAAGGATTAAAATTTGAAATTTAGAATAAAATCATGTGATATAAAACAAGATCAGTGCCAGAGATGAGTTCAAAAAACAAAAGAAAAAAAATTTAAAAATTAAATTTATTAAAAAAATACTATTCCGGTTGTTTTTATATTCTCATCCTCTAAATATTTTAGGACTATATCTAACTATGTGGTGATAATTAGTAGACTTGATTTATGTATCACCAACTTTGAGTATATTAATTTATGATATAATATTAGATCTGTGCTATAAGGAACGGTTTCAAAAGTTTAGAAATTAGAAATTTAATGAAAAAAATATACATTTTTACTTCAAATGAAAAATGATGTTTCCCAGATATGAAATTTGAGTAGAAGAAAGTTTAAATTAAATCAATTCCATTTAGTTTATAGAAATTTTGAGTAAAAACTCTAGCTTGTTATTCAATAAATTATTGCCATATAATTAGTAATGCTGACAAAAACTAAAAATGTAAAAGAAAATTTTAGAAACTAAGAACATAAACAAATTGTAAGGACTAAAACTATATATATAAAAAATAAAATTATATTACAAAGACTAGAAATATATCTAGGTACAACTTTTTTTGGAAATAAACAATACCAAGAGTCATGATATTTCTTCAACTATGTATACACATAAATCAAGCTATCTACGGCTATTCCTATATCTTTACTGTCCTATAATAAAGTCATGAGTCATGACTCTTGTATGAGCAGCACATGTATAAGAAAATAGATTCACAATGCCTGCAACTATGGCGCCAATTGTCATACATTCACACACATTAAACTGTAAAAAGCTTGGAGGAGTGCTGCATGTAGACGGAAGAAGGTCTAAAGGTCCACACACAAGTAGGAAATGACTGAACCTGCTCGGCGCTTTGTACGTTGGCTAACCTTCCACTTCTCAACAAGGACCTTCCTTATGTTGGGGCAGCTAGAAACCACGGTGGCCACACCAACTGAAGTTATACCAGAACAATAAACCATGTGGCATGACTCGAGTATTGTACAACTTTTTACAAGATGGGCTAATCCAAAATCGGTTATTTGCCGGCAGTGTGAGAGTACGATTTCTTTCAGCAATGGACAGTGTTCTCCCACCTCAGCCATAGCCATGTCACCCAAATTCTGTAGTTATAAAGCAAAAGAATTAAGAAAAAGGAAAGGAAACCAGAATGTAGTAACACACTTGTTTAGGATATAGTTTGCAAGTAAAAACTACATTGCCTAGGGTGTAAAACGAGAGATATCAATACACACCTGTAATACACTCACGTCCAAATAACAGAGTTGAGGGCAGCCCCTTGCAATTGCTATCACCCCAGCATCTCCAATTTGATGGCAACCACTAACATTCAGATAATGAAGGGAACAGCCCTGAGCTATGGCAACAAGGGCCCCGTCACCCACCCTAGTAATTTGACAAAGTGGTTAAGGTAGACAGCAACCGCGATGAACAAACAATACAGAAGATATTCTAATGTAAACTAGAACTTGCAAATGAATGCAAAAGGAAACAACAGAAGAAACGACGTAATACAAATTCCCTAACATCTATACATGAAGATTTCTGCCGAGAGTGAGAAGAAATAAAGCTGTGAATGAGGCTTTACCTATCACAGAATCTAATGCTAAGATCCGTCAGCAACTTACAGTTCTCGCCCACAGCAATGATCCCCTTGTTCCCAATCTAATACATGGGAGACAAAAGCAACAAAACGTAAGGAGAAAGGACAAAAATGTTATAAAACTTCCAAAGAAATATAAAATCAATAGTATAAAATTGGCTTATTGCTTTAAACCCTTAAGTATTACACCACTTTCAAATACTTCTATATCCTTCATTTTCATTTAAGAGGAAAACACAGCAGTAAACTAAATGCAAATGCTTTAACCATATCATTGTGTGAGGGATGAGGGGCTAGAGTTGGTGTAGCAAGCAAATAATAATAAAATGCCATATTATACTACTAGTCAAGATAACAAGGTGCAGTGTTGCATAAATTGTAAAAGCACTGGACTCAAATGCGACGAAATTGCACAATTGGTATGTTTATTAAAAGCATAATTATGCAATCTTTTCAAGGATGAATAAACTCTATAAGACAATGACACAATTACTGCTTAGAATTCGTTGAATCATCTATGATACAATGTAGTGTGTCCCTTAAAAAAACCAGATATTGATGACTTCAAAAAAAAAAAAAAAAAGTGGTCATGGAATTATCAAGGAACCTTTAAGAAAGCACCGCAAAAGGAAGTGACCAAAATAACAAGAGAATTTCCTGTTTTCTCTTTTTTGATTAAATTGAAAGGGGAGATAAATGAGAGCTAAAAATTGCTTTTGACTTTAAAATACTTAAGTTTTGTGCATAAAAATGTTTGACGAAAAGTAAGAATGAGTTTTCTTTGGAGTGTTAAGAAGGAATTAAAGGTAAAATTACTAATGTAAACCCACCCCAAAAGAACCAAAAAATATTTTTAAAATTTAAATATTATAACAAGGACAAAGTTGTAGAAGCATGTGTAATGTATGTCAGTATTTAATACTGGTCCAATTGACTTAACGCATTTATCATAGGTTACAAGGTGCAGGTTTGCATTTTGGAAGTGAGCGAAACATCCAAAATTTTATTTTTTAAAATTAACAAAATAAAATCAATTTGATGCCAGAAATGAAACTACATATACAGAATGGCGTTTTCAAACAGAAAACCAAACATAAATGCAGGCAGTACCTCATAACAGCGACGGATATGAAGTTTCTTTAGATTCTTGCAGCCATTAGCAATGCCACACATGGCTTCATCTCCGATACTTGAGCAATCTACCAAGTGAAGCGCTTGCAAGTATTTGCATCCCTTTCCAATCTGGAGAAGGCCAGCATCACCAATTCTTTGGCAATAAAGCAATGCTAACTCAGAGAGATGCCTGTGTAGTAGAAAGCAGAGATTAGCATCACTTATGAATGAGGAAGGAAATTTTCAACATTTAGGAATTTGGGTCATCAAATATTTGTCATTATTATAAACTAATATTCAAATACAGGGTCATAGCATGGATAAGTTTGCCACATTTAGGCTTGTTTGATCACTAATTCAAATTTAAAGCTTAAAACAAGTTATTTAAGCTTTAACTAATTTTAATTTAAAGCTGCGTTTCAATGTCCTGCACTGACTAGTTCAATCGGGAAGAGAGGTGTGCAGCTTAATTTTAACGCAACAATACATGTACAGCAACGTAGGTTGATAATACATGCATGCAGTATACACAGGTACACAACAGTGTCAATAGGAGCAGTATCTCTTGTTAACTGCGAGAGGTAGATTTGTGTGATATGTATATAGTTTTGTTTTTGTAGTTTTTTACACTGGGAATTCTCAGATTCTAAGAATGCTTTGTAAAGCATATGCATATACAGTTACACACATACATGCATAAAAACAAAAAACGAATGCAAGGAAAACCAAGACACCACAAGATTAATAAACTATGTTGGATAGAGAAACATAAAATCCGACGAGTTTCTACTTTCTAAAACAGTTATCCAACTCCCTAAGCTCTTTCATTCTTAGACGTGGAGTTTGCTGCATACAAGAGTTTTAGTCCACACAGCTATAGCATTTTAGGCAACTTAGATTAATGAAGAAACGTACTGGCAAGATTTTCCAACAGATTCAAGCCCCAAAGTTCCTATATTGTGGCATCCATTCACTTCAAGATGAGTAAGTTCCTTGCAGCCGGTAGCAATTGCTTCCAAACCCTTGTCACTTAGGAAATAGCAATCACTTAAAGTCAAGTTCTTTAACTTCTTACATCCATTCCCAATAGCATGCAAACCTCTGGATGTGAAATTATTCAACGAAAGAGTATTACCAACTAAACAACAAAATAATTAAAGAATTAATATTGGAACGCAAAAATAATAATTTTAGCAGCATGACAAAAGGTTGAAAGATTGCAGTTTATACTCCCTTAACGATCATTTGAAAGGAAAATTAAAGAAAAATTACAAAAGCAATCAAGTTTCACCCCACTAGATGAGTTTGACAACACAGATCAAATGACCACCACATTGGACATTATTAGGACAAACAGAAAAAAATCATAAAAAAAAAGATGTTTGAATGGCTCTTTTGAATTGATCAACTCTATAAATGGTTGATAAGTTATAACACAAGAAAGAAATATGCAATTTACACTATGCCTAGTGCATGTGCTTTTTTTATTTATTTTAACGATAGTCAAATCAAGCAATACCTGAAAAAGCAATGATGAGAAATCAATTTACTTATTAGTATATCTCAGAAAACTTTATTGAGCCAATAACTACAAAAATAAATAGCTAATAAACTCTGCAAATGGTTGATCAAGTCTTAAAACAAGAAAGAAATATTCAGTTTGTGATATGCCCAGTGACTGTGATTTTTTTGTGAATTCAACCATAGTCAAATGAAGCAAATCCTGCAAAATAACTATCAGAAAGATGCTCACTTATCAGTAAATCTCTGGAAACTGTATAGGGCCAATATCTCCAAAGACAAACAACTAGCTCCCACAACTTTCAAAGCATCGTCTGTGAGATTAATACATTGTAGCTTTAGCACTTTCAAATGTGGACATCCTTTAATCACAGCAAGCAGCCCTTTATTATGGATGAACTCAGAGTCCAATGACAAGGTCTCTAGAGATCTGCAGTGTGATCCTACAGCTTCCATTGAAATGTCAGTTATTTTCGCACAAGCTGCTACTCCAATAGATTTTAAGGAATTTCCCACACCCAATGCTAATTCAACCAAGCCCGTGTCAGTCAAGCCTTCACAGAAACGCAGATTCAAATCTTCAAGTTGCTTGCAACACTGTCCAATCGCAGCCAAACCTTGATCTCCAACATAACAACCCTAAAGGAAAATCTCATTAATTAAAATAATAAGTATGCATCACTCACGCCAAACTATTCAGAGTAATAGAGTGCAAGGAAAGTGATGCACTGAAAGGAGAGAAGGGCGTCTCTCAAATTGCAATGCTTCCAGTCTATTAGCTGTTCAATAAAGAGTAAAAAAAATCTATTTGATTTTCCTTCCAGTCTCAAGATATTGCAAAGACTTGGTGCATATTTGGATTGAAGTTTGTAAACTTAAGTCTGTGTGATTCATTTAGCAACCTTGATATTACTTTCTATTGGAACTTGGTTTCAACACATAAAGGTGTGCAACCGCATTTACGAGAAAAAACGAAGCATATCAGCCGAAGCAATTTACCAGAGTTGAATGAGCCAAACCTAAATCAAACATAGCCTATGGGCCTGTTTGGATACAAGCGCTTTTGAGAGCTTTTCCACCGGAAATATAAAGTCTTTTTCTGTAAAAAAAAAAAGTCTCAACAGCTCTTCTTGCCCGTAGAGGAGCTCTTTAGAACACTTCTAACTTTGCATTCAACCAAACTCTAAACCTTCATTTAAAAGCAAATATATACTACTATGAAAAAACTAAACAACATTGCTCATGTAATTTCACAACAACGCTAAACACCCTACGTTCAGACTAAGCTATTGTAATATCGCAGAAAAACAACAAACTGTCAATAGCTTCCAACCGTGTACATAAACACTGTACACGACAAAGCACTTGAAACCGCGAAAGAAAATCGAACTAGCTAGAGAACAAAACAGCAAAGTAAATAAATACCTGCAAATCCAAGGACTTCAAAGAAATACATTTCCTCGCTAGCGATGACAACCCCTCGCTGGTGACGTTGGAACACCAGATTAATCTGAGCTTCTCGAGTTTGGGAAAGCCTTCAGCGAGAGCAGCCAATCCAGAATCAGACAAACAGAGCGAATCCAAATCACTCTGGTCAGAGGAAGAGCCGTGTTTATCAGCCTTCAGCGCGGAATTGCCGTTAGCGCGTCTTCTCCCGGGCTAAAAGAAAATCAAATAAAAGATCAGGGAAAGGGGAATTAAGGAATAGAGAAGGGAGAAGTTTGGGAACGAAGTGAGGGAGAAGTGAGAGAGGAATCGGACTGACCAAGCTAGTGGGGATCGAAACGGAGAGACGCTCATCGATGTAGACGGTGGTGATGTTGGAGAAACGGGCGGCCAGGTGGTGGACGAAGAGGTCCGGAGAGCCGGAGGCCCCGATGCGGATAGCAGCGCGTGTGAGACGCTCGAGGCCCAGCCAGCGCGTGCAGACGAGGGAGCACGCATCGCGGCTGGACTTGGAGTCCAGGCGGCGGAAGATCTCGATGAGTAACTCGTCCGGGAGCAACGTGTTGATCCAATCGTGGCCTCGCATCGAACCGAACGGATGATTGAGATGGTTGAAATTGCAGAAGCCGAATAGCAGATAAAGTTGCATACGGTACTGTTTTGATATTGTTACCGCCCTTCTTTTTCTGCGGGTGACCTTTTTAGCCCTTCTTTTTCCTCTGCCTCTCCATTTCCTTAACAATTATATTCAGACTCATTCTCTCACTAATAATTTTCTTTTTATAAATTCTGCCATTGAAGGACTTATCCAAAACTACTTCCTACTTTTGAACATCAAATAAATTAAACCTTTTTATCTGTATCAAAACAGATATATTGTTATCATTTCATAGCTCTTCCAGTTAAATAAACATTTTCAATCTTCTTTTAAAAATAATTATTTTTTTATACTTAGTTTATATTGTATTAAGTATTAAGTATTACGTATTTTCAGTTTATAGATTTTAGTTTAGAGATTCTCATATTATCTAATTTATAAGGTGACCACCTTATAAATTTTCAATTAAAATACTTTTATTTTTTATTTTTTATTTTTTAAATTTAAAATACTATTATGAATAATTATTGGTATTACAAGTAGGAAGTTATCCTTCTCATGCATGAAAAATGAGAACGGAATTTACAGTCTTGCAACTTGCATTGACCTTCTATTTATACAGATTTTCTTAATTATTTATAAGAGAAATATTTTAAGAATTGTTTGTTTAAGATGAATTAACATTAAATTATATTTGAGTAAAAAAATATAATTAAAAAATTATGTAAAAAATATATAAAAAAAAAGTTTACATAGAAGCTAAAAAACTCATTGCAATTTGTTTCTTCATTTTTAACGATAAATTTGTATAAGACCTATAAACTCAGGATCAATCAATAACTATATTTTTTTAGTCAATTGGGTTGGATATGGGATTCGTTATAATTAATTTATAAATATTTTATGGAATACATTGGATAGGTTAAATTTATTATTCAAGTCTCAAGAAGAACAATAAGATGATATATTAATTATGATTGTTCTTTTTATCAAAACTTATGATTTTTTTTAACTATTATAATTTTGAGTATTTTACAAACTTATTTTAAATCTTATAACTTATAAAATTATTTTAAATGTTGTAAAATATTTTTCTATAAATTTAAATTTAGAAAAACTTAATAATATATTTTTTATAAGAGATAAATTGTGACTTTAAATTTATAATTAATGAAATATAATAGGTTAACTATTGAATTTTATTCATAATATATATATATATATATATATGTATATTTTTTTTTCTTGATTTTAGCCTCTTTGCATATCACAGTTCCGGAAAACATATTTAAAAAGGTTTGGAACAAATTAGAGGAAATAATTTACGGTTGATTATATAATCATAAAAATACTAAATTATCCTTCTTTTAAATATTATGTTTATAAAAATTAAATATTTAATATAAAAATACTTTGGTAATTTATTAAATATATAAATAATATATATTTATTATTTTAAATTAATTATAAATTATTTATTTATTCGTTTATTTTTTTCTTTTGATTTAAACAATAAATTTTTTTTACTATATTTCTTATTATTTATATATTTTTGCGATCTTTAAAAATTATTTTCACGTCGTCCAAATAAAGGCTTAATTTTGGAGGGACAGTAGGCAATTGTCTCTCCTTACCCCACGCGATAATAAAGAAAACAAAAAATACGAATTTTATTTTCATGACTAAATTATTTTAATTTTAGATGTTAAAATCTAAAACTTTTTAGTCAAGAGGATAAAAAAAAAAAATAGATTGATTTAATTATCTCACTATAAATTTTTATGAAATTATTTAACAAATAACAAACAACGATTGGTAGTAGTATGTTCTTCATAGATTTGGACTGTAAAAGATTTTTAATTTATGTTGGGTGTTAAAAATAAGAAAAGAAAAATAACCTTACACTACAATTCTATCTCTCTCCGAGCATGGGCTCATTATTGTTGGTGATGACTGGTAAATCGTAATAACGATGGGGAGTTGAAATCGAAAGAGAAGAAGATTCAAAGGAAGAACAGGAAAACACTGCATCATCATCAGCAGCATTTTGTTTTACCATCCCAACATCAACAGCGAGAAAGAGAAAGGATCATCGATCATCATGTCGTTTTCGTTTTTCAAGGCTTCGAGGCCTAAAACGCCGCAGGAGGTGGCCAAGTCTATCAAGGAGAGCCTCATGGCCCTCGATACCAAAACCGTTGTTGAAGTTAAAGCCCTTGAGAAGGTAAGTTTCTTGATTTCTTCTTCACCTACTTGTCCCACGTGAGATTCACTCGCGTAATTAGCATCCTTTGATCCATGGCTTCAATGTTCTATCTAGGTCTTCGCTTTCTCATTTGAATTTTCGCTTTTGAATCGTGGGCAGCTCTTAAGTCTCTCATAACGGATTGTGTAGTATGTTTCGTGCTTTAATAAATATTGTCTTTTGCATGAAAACTAATCATTGGTATGTAACTTGTTACCTGAGTGTTGTTTTAGAAATGACTCTAGAGACAATTGTGACGGAATTGTATTTTACAAGAAGAAATTCCAATTTACAAGTTATAAAAAATTTTAAGTACGTTTGTGTGTTTCCTAAATGGAGGAGGGCACTCTTATATTAACTCATGGAAAGTTTCCTGATGGAAATTGGTTCATTTCCTCTTCCTGCTTTGTTAATACACAATTATCAGTATAGACAATGTCCTTTCTGTGTCCACATGGGTTATGTTGTCTGCTTCAGTCATGGAAAACCTCTAGAAAAGTTGTCCTGTCTGTCCCTCAGGTCGCAATGAGGATTAAGTCATTCACACTAGGAGTTGTTACAACATTGTGCGTGTGGGACTGGGATCTCATGCGACCATTTCCTGTCTCCCCTTAGGCCTAATTGCCAAGTCGTTTTAATGTCAATCGGTAACCATTCGGCAATTAACAAACACTCATAACTGAGGCCTATAAGTTCTTCACTGATGGAATCAGTATCTTACCCGGACACTGCCTTTCAGCCTTGAACAAAGTTAACAATGGTACAGGAAAGAAGGTCAAAATTCCATCATATAAACAGGCCATTGCAGCCTCCCTTCACAAATTGCTTATAACAGCTATTTAATAGCAATAACCTCGAGCTTTAAGGGTGAATGAGGCTTGAATTAATGTGTCGGTATTTTAATGGGAGGGAACTGCGTCTGTTGAAAGTAGACACATTTGTTGAAATAGAATAGTTTGAAAACTGCATTAAGTTTTCTGGTAATAGTACATATAATAAACATGCTCATTCAAGACTCTTTGAGTGATATAACATCAACAAAATAAACAAGGTTAGTCTTTGAAGTAAAAAATGACGTCGCATGTTACAATCTGATTTTTAAATTATTAATCATTTAAGAGGATTGTGTCAGTGAAGTCACACTCTCACTGTTTCTTTTATCTTAGACATGCTTCAAATGGTTCCCATTTGACGTAGATATTTATTCTTGAGAGAAGCAAAATGAAGAAAGAAACTGCTCCAGGTTTATCAAGCCTTTCTTTAAGTTGCAGTTTCCTGTTAGTGGTTAGTGATTACTGATGCCTTTCATGCTTCTTGTAGGCTTTAGAGGAAGTTGAAAAGAATTTTGTAACAATGAGAACCATGCTTTCTGGGGATGGAGAGTCAGAACCAAATTTGGATCAGGTTTCGCAGTTAGTGGAGGAAATGTGCAAGGATGATGTTCTTACTCTTCTAATTCACAAGCTGCCTATACTAGGATGGGAAGTAAGTTCAGATCGATTCCAAGCTCAACTGTTTGCAGTTGTTTTAATTGGTTGCTCATCGTTGGTGTGTGAATTTTGATACAGGCAAGAAAGGATTTAGTCCACTGTTGGTCGATATTATTGAAACATAAAGTTGATTCTGTTTCTTGCTGCGTCGAATACATTGAACAACACATTGATTTACTAGATTTTCTTGTTGTATGGTAAGCTTTTTACTGCTGCACCTTTTTTCCTACCAACTATGAACTCCTTTTTGTTCATTCCTTCTCACATGTTTCAATTGCGGGCAGTCACTTTACTAGTTGTATTCATGATGGAAGACCGAAACTGATTCTTTAAACCCAATTGAAAAGGAGAGATTTTCTTTTTTATTTTTTTTTTCCAAGATATGATCGTGGAAAAAGTTGGAGAAGGCTTACATTTGGAAATAATTTTAGGTGGTGAAACTAATATCACAAAAATGAAGCTACTGGATCTAGCAGTTTATACGGCTAGAGTCATGGGAAACTCTTTGTTGGCACTTCATTCAGATAAAATTATAGTATTATATGTCTAATACTTTTAGGAGTTTATTAGTGATTTAAACCTTGGGTGTTGTTGGTGCATAGCAACTGGCCCAAAAATGCTACAGCGAGATGGATGCTATTTTGAATTCTTTTATATTGTTTATATAACGCATACTATATATAAAAACTGATAAAATCTATTCAAAGTTAATGACAAGCACATTTGACAATAAAAAGTCATAGGTGCCTTAAACAAACAAGTAAATATCAACAATAGTTAAATACAAGTTTCCTAATTCTTAAGTGTCTATGTGTTCAAAGGGCTTTTTGGAATCAACATATGGTGTCGTATGGCACTGCTATAGTAAACCACTCCACTATGGTAGCCCCTGTAGCGGGCAGGGCCCACTCAACACCACTACGCCACTATAGTGCACCATTTAAAACCTTGAAAGTCATACCTGATAGAATAGCGAATTGGTTCTGTGTCGAAAGATTTTGTCAACAAATTGCTGACGTTTTTATCACAATTGTTGTCTACTATTTTCTGTAGTTTTACTATTAATTGTAAATTTACTGCATTAATGTAATTGTTACCTTAATAAATTTATTTCTTCTGTGAAAGCATTTCCACATGATTTTTCCCCTAAATTTGGAGTATATAACTGAACTTCAATGACTTTACATGTGAAATCAATGATGAAACAAATTTCATTGCTATAAAAGATCGGTTTGGAAATGTATATTGGAATCCCACAATCACTTTCATATGTCCAAGGTTTGAATGTTTTCACTTTTTTTTTTCACAAAGTCATGGTGAGAGAAGGTATTTAGGAAAAAAGAAGATATTCTGACTTTTGCATATTTATTCTCTCTCAATCATATACTTTGATCAAATTATCCATATAGGATTTCTGAATTGTGACATAACATGCCAGGTAAACTGTCCTTATTTTCTTTTCATCAATCAAAAACAATTTTGCTACAACTTTATAAATTGATTCATGCAAAAGGGTTAAATATGTTTTAATTTATTGTACTTTTTTTTTAAAATTTGTTTCAGTCCTTTCAAAAGTTAACAAATTCGTCCTCAAACTTTACGAAAAAATAAAAGTAGTCTTTTAATAGACTTTATAGCAGTAACAAATGTTCCTAAATATCACATTTGAGTATAAAGAATGATTAAAGTCACATTTAATTTTTTGATCAACTCTGTTATGGTGAAAATCATAATTAAGTGTTAAAATTTAGGTATAAAAAAGGATGAAAATCACATATTTTCAAATTTTGTTGGATCCAATTGATCAATTTGAAAATATAAAATCAAACACAAATTTATGAAAAAGTACAAGGACCAAAAGTATATCTTTCCCCATGCAAAATGAGTTATAACTAAACAATTGTGTATTTGTATGTGATCAATCTTCTCAAATATGATAAATTTAAACTGTTACTCAGAACATCTATATATTTGTTTCCAAGCAGCTATGATAACAAAGATATTGCTTTGAGCTGTGGCATAATGTTGCGGGAGTGCATCAAATTTCCATCACTTGGAAGGTAAGATATCATGGGCTATTATTCTTTGGTCTTCTTCCTAATTTTTCTGTTATTTTCATCTCTAATATATTTATGTTTGTTGTGGGATCAAATTGATCCTGCCAAGATTATGTTCAATTCTATTAGGGATTGCTTTAGTGGGCTTAAAAAAGTGTAATGAATAAGATATTTTTATATTATAAGGAAGAAAACATATATTTTTTCTGCATTATCACAATAAATATAGTGCTATAAGTTGCCATATCTGCATTATTTGAATGTGCTCCGATTAGATCTGGCATTCTTGTTAATTGTTGTTGTTCCTTGCTCTATGGGTTTCTATTGTTTTTGTGTTGTTATATGCTTCACTTTGGCTCTAGGCTTCGGATAAGGGGCAACCCATTAAACATTTTAGAAAGAATCAAGATCAGATACCACGAAAGTGAGAAATATGGACCCACATCCCTTATTTATCTCAATTGCACTACCCACTCTCGAAATGTTGGGGTAATGGTTACCCCAATGACCCAAAACTTCAAAAATGTAACATATTGATGAGGATATGTGGACTTGGAACTTGAGAGGAAGGACAACTATTGATTTCACCAGGACTAGTAGAAAGAGGGGAAAAGGCACGAGATTTCATCTCCTCCCTTGTTACAAAAAGAATTTGGCACCCACTATGGGGCTAAGAAGAGAGTCTCGCTCCAATTTTACCCCGTAGTCCTTGACTAAGAGATTATATTCCAGTACACTCATAGGTCTCACATCACTTAGGAGTCAAGACTAAGAATAGTTTATATATACCTTTTTCTCTTAACCCACCGAAGTGTTTTTTAAGGACAAAACTATGATAGACTAGAATTCTAAAACAGACAATACCTTAAACGTGGTAATTAACTCTAACGATGATATCATAGTGGATATGAGATCGGACACTCTTGTTCTTAGACGAACATTGGCGCCAACCGTGAGATCTAGAACATAGTTTTGCTCCACTCCTACTCCTTAGTCCTTGACTGAGGAGATATATTTCGGTATACTCATGAGTTCTATATAGCTTAGGAGTCAAGATTAAGGGTAGTTTATATATGTTAGTCTTTTGGCAAGCGTACCAATATTATCAATTGCAGTACAGTATTTCAATTAAATAAAAGTCGATCCCACGAGGAACGGTTTCACTGAAAATTCCGCATCATAAGCTTACCAAGTGTATTGACACAAAATTGGTTTTTCATAAACTTTTGGATTGAAATCAAACAGTAAAAAGCTATAAAATATATTTAGAAAAGATGAAATATAAGAACTTAGGATTGACTTGCTTCCTTTTCCCTCATTTGTATAATGGCTAGGTCAAATGAAAAAAATCAATTAACCTAACAATGTTGATGCCACCTGCTTAAATCATTCACATTGATTCCTCAAACATGAAATTCATAAGAAAACCTTGTAAATATAGATTCCTCATACATTCAATAGATTTTTCAGCATTAGGTTTAGGGTGTTAAGCATTTAATACATTTATTACCATTCCTAGCAATCAACGTATCAAATATTCTTAACCTAATCAAGAGTTTCAAGATATATTTTCCAATATATATGAACATCTAGGATAAAAACATTAACATGCACAAAGGATAAGAATAACAACATCAAAAACATAGATTAATATCTCAAAGTATCATCAAGATATAAAAGAGTTCAAAGGAAATGCACTCAATCCTAAGAGAATGAAGTTAGCCACTCATGATAGTCATTACAATGATCTAAATGAAGAAGAATTGAAGATGAATTGAAGATTGGACGAAAACTCGAGCAGCCGTCATGCCTCTCTTCTCAAAACCTCCAAAAACCTCTTTCTCAAAACGCATCTTATCTTTTTTTAGAAAAATTTCGCATCATTTGCTCAAGCGGAATGTTCGCTTAAGCGAAAAATGAAGATTTTCACTCAAGCGAGAATTGTTCGCTTAAACGGTTGAATTCCCGAGAGCTTCAACGTATTTTCGCTCAAGCGAATAAATGTTTGCTTGAGCGAGTGATTTCCAGAGAGCTTTAACTTATTTTCGCTCAAGCGAACCTCCGTCTCACTCGGGCGATTCTTAAGCTGAAAATCTTATTCCTTTTTTTCCAATTTTTCTTCAATTAACTTGAGAATTATGATCCTTGCTCTTGTATCAAGGTATTCTTCAAATTCATCCTACATTGGAAGAAAATTATATTAGAATCAACATAATTTAAGTGGTTAAATAACAATTAAAAGTATAATTACATCAACTTTTGCCACTTAACAATATACACCCTCTTTCAACCCACCGAGACACCTTTTAAGAATAAAACCATGACGAACTAGAGTTCTAGAACGGACAATATCTCAGGCATGTAATTGACCTTGACAATGTTATCATAATGGACATGAAATCGAGATACTCTCGTTCCTAGGCAAAACAGTTTCTAATTCCATACTTATGTTATGGTTTTAAGGAGATTACAACATTGGGATAATTCTTGAGTTTGGGCTTGAGGATGATGAAATTTACCTGCAAAAATAGTAGGGGGTTAAGTTATTTTAGAAGTAAAAATTAACAGAAGATTGTCTCATTTAATGTGCATTTTGGTCTGATGCTTGTGTTGCAGTCTATGTAGAAGGCAAGTCAATCACACTGTTTTAACTTTGTGTATATTTTGAATGCTTTTCAGATACATATTGGAATCTGCTAGTTTTGTGTTGTTCTTTAAATTTGTAGAGTTGCCTAACTTTGATGTTGCATCTGATGCATTTTCTACCTTCAAGGTGAGGAAACAGAATCGTCCCCCATTTTAATTCCCATTATTTGTCTTACTAATGATTATAAAGCCCTACATGACACTTCTTCATACTTCCCTATGGGTATGCATTGCAGGATCTTCTCACTAAGCATGAAAACGTGGTCTCTGAATTTTTGACAGCTCACTATGATGAGGTTTGTTTCATCATTGACATATTTATCTGATTTGAATATTTCAGGCAGCACGTCTGTGCTGCTTAAGAAAATAAAATTAACCTATTAACTGTTCTCTACTATATATAGTTAGGTGCTCATATCTTTTTATTTGAACATGTGCATGGTGCATATTGCAAATTGAATGATTGGGATTGTTTTTTCTCCCGTATTACATTTAAACTTCTCTAATAGGACTATATGTTCCCAGTTCTTTGATTTATACGAGAGACTTTTGACATCTCCTAATTATGTCACAAGGAGGCAGTCTTTGAAGGTTTCTTCTTGCAACTCGTTTTAATGTTTTCGTTTCCTGATTATATTTTTATTTGAGTGATTTTAACAGTTAAATTTCTATGGGTTTTAGCTTCTTTCGGAATTTCTTTTGGAATCTCCTAACTCTCAGATAATGAAGCGGTACATCTTAGAAGTTCGCTACTTGAAAGTCATGATGACATTGCTGAGGGTATAACTTCTCATAACCCCTCGTAATTGTGTGGTATTCTCCTTTTTATTCATGACTAGTAATGCATGCTCACATGAAACTCGATTAATATGTTTACTTCCCATGCTATTGTAGATAAATGCTGCATGCTTTGCACAACTGAACATTTTCTGCTGAGTGTTGTATTTGTTTGTATAGTTTGGCTTCTCTGTTAACTGATATCCGTCCATATGGTGAAAAGTACTTTATTGTATATATTCGCATCTCCTAGTTCTGTTTTATGTTTTGCATCACTACAATTGCATGTAATTTCCTTAGTTCCAATTTCCTGCTGTATGTTTTTCTAAACTGATTTATCAGGTCGGGAGAACTGTTTGAACACATATTCTTGTGATATAAGATTTTAAGATGAGTTCGTAGTTGATTAACAACTTCTGGTTAGTTTGGTTATATATGTAATATTATTAGGGTGAAATTTGTACACTACCACTAGAGATCACAAATATCAGGGCTTATGGATGTAATGCATGTTTGGCAATGGACTGCCAATCAAATTAAAAAGGTGAGGGTAATGCAGATAAGAAAGTATCCAAGAGAATGCTTAATTAACACCTATTTGGGAGGTGATAAAATTTTTCTAAAGGTTGTTTGGTTCATCTGAGAAGAAGACCAATGAAGGCTTCAGTGAGAAAAGTGGACTAAATGGAGTACATTTCATTTAAAAGGGGTTGGTGGAAATTTGATGGGTGGGGGGACCATTAAACACAAACCTAGATCTAACGTAGAGCCCAATGGTGTCAACTGATTCATGTACCTGACTTCACCTATTAGGATAAAGCGTGCTTGTGCTTGTGGTTGTTATTGCAGCCTACCTGATTGGCATGCCAAACAGCCAATGCTACAATTAATCTTAAATGCAATGATGATCATCTGGAGCTGTACTGTGCATGTTTTTTCTAGTTCCATAAGAATCATTGCTTTTGTTTTTACCTTATCTTCTGCTAACTGTTTATTTGCTATATTCTGGGTTGGACAGGATTCAAGTAAAAACATTCAGTTATCAGCCTTCCACATTTTTAAGGTGAAGTTTCCTCTTCATGCTTTTAAGTTATATAATGAGCTTTCCTTTGTGAATATGTATAAAAAGGAATCAAAACCAGACTATGCCTGCTAATATATCGTAAATGGGGGTATTCAACCCTCTTTGCAAAGTTTGGCATCCGTACAGAACTGGAGAAGTTTTGTATTTATCATGTTTATATCAATGAGTTGGGAATTTGGTTAATGGCTGGTTTATATCTAAATTGTTTTAATGCATTTAATAGTGTTGACAAAGGTTACTTCCATGTATGTATGGAAGTACAATTGCTTCTTGTTTTAACAATATATGTATTAGTGCTTTGCTTTAATTGATTGACCAACTTTTTACAAAAATTGAATCTTTGAACAAGACAATCTTGAGTTTGTCCTTTGAGATCATTCCTGTTCTCAGACTTCCTATCCTTTGGATTTATTAATAGTTAGTCTAGGACTATAAGGTTTTTGCTTGGGTCATATGCTTTAGAAAAGTGAAGAGGACGATTACTTGACAATGTTGAAAGGGAAAAATATGATATATTTCGTGCTATCAACAGTCCAGCTAGGTTTTCTAAAACTAATTTTAGGTGCGAGTGATTTCCTCTATGGTGGCAATTCTTTAGTGTGTGTTTGGTTTTATGGTTGGAAGTATTAAAATTGATTTTTCAGTAAAAGGTGATTTTAGAGATACGAGTGTTTAGTTGTTGGGTAAAATTGATTTTGCCTATAAACCTTGGTTTGTTTGAATGTAATAAAATTAGCTTTTGTATTGGGTTGAAAAATTTATACTAAATTTTATAACAAACCTTCTTTCAGGGTAAAAAACATTCTAAAATAAATCACTTCACTTCAGAATCAGTTTTAACCAAAATCAATTTTGTAAACAGTCACCCAAACACACTTAAAAAAATCTCTTTCAATATCTGAAGTAGAATAAATCTCCTCCATTAAAATTTGGTAATGCAGAAAGCTCCTGAAGACTTCTCCAGGCACTTCTTTTATCATATTTAAATTTGTGGACATCTATACTTTTTCTTTTTTCTAAAGAAATATATCCTACAGCATAACATTGGTTGTGGAGATGATCTATATTTGTTTTATCTTTCTCCCTTGTTTATCCAGGTTTTCGTTGCTAATCCCAATAAGCCTGTTGAAGTAAAACTTATTTTGGCGAAAAACCAGGAAAAGCTGCTAGAATTGCTTCATAATCTGTCCCCAGGAAAAGGTTAGAACACTCTGAGTAACTGCTTGATTTGAACCTACGATTACATAATTCTGTCTTGAATTTCTATTCAATTTCTGAAAAACACTTAGATAAAAAAATTCTCTTGCATGTCATGAATATCAGCTCTGTCACCTTTTTCAGGTTCAGAAGATGACCAATTTGAGGAGGAAAAGGAGTTTATCATCAAGGAAATTAAAAGACTATCATGCTAAGTTATTTTTTTTTTCTACAGCAGCTGTGTGTGATTTTGTAACAAGTCTATTGTAACGTGTATATCCAAAGCTAATTTTATGCAAGGATTTCTTGCTGCTGTTTGTAAGCAACTTATCTGTTGAAAGGTCCATGACGACGAGACACTTAAAACGTGTTTGTAATGCAAACTGAATTAAAATTATCGACCTCGATGCTGGTATAGTTATTCTGTGAATATGCCATTGGCATTGATTGACTGTAATTTTGCCGATTAGTTGACATTTTTATCATTTTGTTATTTTTACAAAATCTAACACCCTTGTGAGTTGCATCAAAGCATTTATTGAAGAGTTTTTTTTTATTATTATTATTAGAAATGCAGTGCAATTTGATATGATAATTGCCAAACTAGTGTAAATTTAAGTTTTTTAGGGAAGTGGATGATGGAGAAAGAAGGAAAGATTATGGAAGGTTAAAAGTCTGGTGCTTGTGTATGTATTTTGCATAAATAAGTACTAATAAAGACGCGAATATGTGAAATCTTATGGTAGTAGAAGAATGGGTGAATTTCGTGTTTAGATTCCTGTTTTATGAGAGGAGTCACACGTCACTTCTATGTAAAATATGTGGAGGCTTAGATTAGTTAATTCTCATCCTATGCGAATTGGAAAAATATATCCTCATAAAAATCCTTCTCTAAAAAACCATTTACTACACAACTGTTTTATTAATATAATCATAATAATAATAACTTTTTGTGTCTAATTGTATTGTAATATTACAATGAAGTTATATGTTTATGTATTCTAATGTAAAAAAATCATGTTTCTATTACTAATCATGCATAGATTAGTCCGCCTTTTTTTAACTCAGTTTTTTTCTTCTGTTTCTTCGTTTTCAACCATAGCGTTAATAAAAATTAATCCGCGTTTTGTCAGAAGCTACACTCGTTGCTTCTGATTCTTTTGCATCATTTGGATATGTTTTAATGAGTTTGCTTCCATTGTTTCTAACTATTAACTTACATAAAATCCTAATAACTACATCTAAAATCACTATCTCAGGTCATTTTCAATGGGTAAGTCATATAAATCCATAGAGAAATATTGTTAATCCACTCACTTCCCCTTCTTTTAATTTTTTTCATCAAGAAATGTTAAATGAAATATTCTTTTAAAAAATACTCTCAATTATTATTAGAAGTTGTTAAAAACAAATAATTTTGTGAGCTATACATCTTTTAATTATATAATAAGTTTAAGACACACCTATAAAAGTTTTTAATGGAAGATATCGTAGCTTATGTTTTATTGAATATTAATATATTTATTTAAAAGTTCAGGTTTTATTAGTTAAAATTGGATTGTATTTATGAAAAAAATATTAACTTCTCTTTTAACATATATGAATTATTTTCTGAGAAAAACTTTTTTGCGAATTATTTTATCAATAAATTAACATTAAAATAATATTTAAATGCTATAGTAGTAAAGTAAAAAAATAATTATATATTTTTTTTCAAAAAAGCAAAATTAATTAGGTTATAATGAATTAAATAAGCCAAACTCGAACTTAAATTTTTTAATAAGTTTAAGTCAAACTTTTAATGAGACTAGATTGAATATATAAGTTAAATTATTAATCTATTTACAACTCCACAAGTTTGTAGAGTTTAATGCAGTTTGTTAGTTGGACTTGTTTAATCGTTATCACAAATCTTGGTTGAGAAACGAAATGCCAAAGTACGTGTTGTTGTAACAATTTAGTTACCATTTTTATCATTTGAACGTTTGTATAACGGTTCATTAGTTTTATAAAATTCTTGGTCCTCTTTTTACTTTATTATTTTATGACCAATTCATTTGAAACAATAAAACAATCAACATTTTATAAAAATATATATATTTTAATTTATTTAGAGTTTAAGAAGTGTATTATTCCAAAACGCAAATCCTTGTAGTAAGTGATTTAATGACGTTGCACGAAAGTTAGAAGAGAGTGGTTTAAAATGGAAGATAGCATTGCACCGGAAAGAAAATCTGAACTGAATAATTGGATTGATGTGACGTGTGATTCCATTTACATCCATGCGCATCATATCACATCACATTATAAATCCACGATCACATGCCCTGCTTCCCCATACATACATACATACACAAAATTCCACCGACCATCATCACCATACGCAAAATCCACCGTTCATAAACCTTTTCCACTTCCCTCTTAACACCGCCCTACCACGCCGCCATGAATTTTTTCAAGTCCATCTTCTCCGACGAACCCGAATCGCCGCCGCTCGAATCTCCACCGCCTCAATCCGACGGCCCCGATCCGCCGCGGAGCGACGACGTGTGGAGCTTTGGCGACCTCATCCAAACCCTCGCCTTCAAATCGGAATCCGTCCTCGAGAACTACCGTCGCGATTTCGAGGAATTTGGCTCTGGCTTCAGGAAGGAGACGGCGGTGATCCGCGAAGCCGCCTCACGCGCCGTCAAGGACCTCCCGGCGTCGCTTGATGTTGGCGCGTCGGTGGCACAGGAGTCGCTCGAGTCCGTCGGTCAAGCCATTGATGACATCGGCAGCACGGTTTGGAATTCGACGGCGCAGATTATATCTCGCGGTAGGGACTCTCTTCTAGCCTCTGATTTCGATTCCGATTCTTTCGATTCGAGCAATTACGATAGTATCAATAGCAATGTCGGCAATAAACTATTGAGTGGTGGTAGCGTTGATCGGGGTTTGGATTTGAAACGGTATAGTAGGTTTGATACGCTGGTGCGTGCGCTTCAGTGTGATGTGAATACCTATTTGGAGGAGCCTGAGGATTTAGAGAATTTCGATGAGTGGAAATTAGGGTTAGAGTTGGACAAGAAGGAGGAGGAGATTAGGGATTTGTTTGAAGAGAATGGGGTTGTTGAGCAGATTTATGAGAAGGTTGTACCTAGTAGGACTGATCATGAGAGTTTCTGGAGCAGGTATTTTTATAGGCTGCATAAGCTGAAGCAAGCCGAGGATGCCAGAGCTAAGCTCGTAAAGCGTGCAATTTCCGGGGATGAGGAAGAGGATTTGAGCTGGGATTTTGATGATGATGAAGATGACAATGATGGGTATGAGCCTATAGGTAATACCAGTAGGGTTTCATTGTTGAAGGAGGGGAATTCTGCTGATGTTGTTTGTGTTGAGAATGTTCAGGCTGGTAAGAAGGATTTAGAGATAGAGAAAGAGGATGATGGGAAGGGTGTTGAGAATATTCAAGCCGAGAAGAAGGCTTTGAAGACACAGGACGAGAATGGTGGGAAGGGCGTTTCTCCTGAATCCAAAACTGGTGTTGATGATAAGTTGGAGGAGGAGAAATGTAAAGAAAATGTGGCATCTAATGTTCCTGAGAATGAAAGTGGCAGTCGGGATATGTTGGATGCTAAATGTGAAGAGAAAGAGGCATCAGAAGGAAAGGGAGATAATGATAACAATGGATCGTGCAAAGATAGTGATATTTCAATTGTTTCAAGCCAGCCTTCAATGCCTGGGGAAGAAGACATGGGCTGGGATGAAATTGAGGATATTGAAAGCAGTGATGAGAATAAAGGGGATGCTGTTGGGTCCGCAAGTAGGATTGATTTGCGGAAGAGGTTGACTGTGGCAGACCAAGATGAGGAGGATCTTAGTTGGGACATTGAAGATGAAGAGGATGCAGTCAAATCATGATCAGAATTGCTTTAATTTTAAACTCAAATTGCTTATTAAGTGTATAATTCTTTTCTTATAACTTTACAATGTAAATAAATTGTTTTTTTTTTTCTTACACAAGCTTAAGTCCGAAGGTGGGCACCAGTTAAAAGTTTAGTTTGTAAGTTCTTGTGAGTTCTTCATCCTCTCTGAGCAAGGTTCTTGCATCATATTCGGTGCATCTTTTTATAGCAAGGATTGTTCTATTGTTCAGTTATTTTCTGTGCCCTTTTTATAAGGATAACAATCATGTCATAATGAGCCACTTTATTACTGGTATGTCTGTTCCAGCATTGAATGCAATTACTTGCATAACCCTTATGAATTTACTTAGTAGTGTTAAGGTGGCAACATCTTGCAATTGTTTGCATCTACATAAACATTATAAGCAATATGCAAGACATGACTGATAATCGGACCCTTTCTTCAGTGTTATGAATTAGGTCATTTTTTAATTAATTTTTAGATACTTCTAAAGGTTACTGCATTTATTAATTTAGAAAAACAATTTTATAGTTAAATCATTGCTGATCTAAAAAGTGGATATCTTATGTTAGATTTGATCCATTCGAACATTATCTTTTAATACAAGTGCAGACATTTTTCAAGTAACATCTGGTGACTCATTCTATTCACTCAATACCTCCTCTCCCCCTTTATACGTGGGGGAGAATCGAGTACCATGCGAGTAAGGCTTTGAATAAAGTTGCATACCTCAGACTGTTTTGTTAATTTTGTGAACTTCATAAGTCTTAATTTATAACACATGGAGTCCATAACATAACAATAATTAATTAAAAAATATTATCTTGTACAAATGGGGAGTATTAAGTTTCTAACCCAAAATTTTAACGAACATTTTCGAAAAGGTTTCTCTCGTATATCTAGAAATAAATATAAAGAAAAAAATGAAGTGTTTATTTGTAAATTAAGACTAATTTATATAAAATTTAAATTGTAGAAAATTTGTTATAATTTTTATTGATTTTCAATTTTAGCTTATATAAATTAATTTCAATTTATAAATAAACTTCTTTTTATCTTTATAATTTCTTAATTTTGTTTAGAAAAAGTTTTTTAAATATTTTGTCACGATAAAAAATTAGGACATGATTCTATATTTGAGATTTATATTTTTATCTACCTGTTAGAAAATGTTGGAGACGTAAGCTTTGCGTCTTTAGAGGCAATAGTAGTCTAGAAAATATATTTCAATTTTTTTTGTCTTTTAGTTTTTTATTATTTTCTTTTGTTAAACAAATTAAGGCCATTTCTTTATTTTAAATATCTCGCCAACAGGGGAGAGCTCTGTACTTAGAAGAAATCGCAATAAAGTATTTTTTTCTTTTATGGGAAGGTGAAAGTTGGGTTCATGAATGTAGACAAGATGAGTAGCCACTAAATATTAGCACAATTACATTTCATTGACATAGTTTTATTAATTTTATAAATTTATTTTAATTAAAAATTTTAATAAAATAAAATAAAAAGTTAAAAATATGTAATATAAAATTAATATTTACATGTATTAATATTTCTATTCGCAATAGAAAAGACAGGGTATTTTATATTTGTTTGCGTTGTCAATCATCCCGTTGTCCTCTGCAGTAAAAATGTTCAACTTTATTTTTCAAACGTTCTTTGTGAGAACACGTTAACAAAAAGATTAAGACTTCTAAATAAAAGATCAACAATTCTTTAAAGGCAAAGGAAAGTTTCAAATAAAAGATCAACGAATCGTAAAAATAAAGGAAAAATATAAACACGACGTATCACAAACTAATATTATGTTCATACTTATTCTTCACGAAATTTTAATAAAGTTATTTATATCTAAAAGCGAAACTAATCAAAGCATGGAAATATTCCAGTTCGATGTTAAATGCACTTTCATGGTTTATTGAGATTACGCGTCTCCCTATTTCTTTTTAATGTTTACAACGACTTTCTTTGTAAAAATAATATTCTTCAAAAGTATTAATAAATATATAAAAGTGTGAGTGTAACATCTTTTAATCGATTAAAAAATATTATAGTAAGAAAAGAAAAATAAGAGATACTAGAAGAAAATTAATGAAATTACAGGAAGCGAGTTTTATTTACTTCATTGCCATTCCCGTTTGAGCATTTTCTAATCATGATTTCACTTAGTTCATTTTGCAATACAGGCGGAGTGTACGCAACATTATTGGGTGTTTAAGTTCTTTGTACCAGATGCTCCATTTTTTGGCTGAGAAAACAGAAAAATGATTACGGCATAACTTGAAAACTTGATAATATCTGTCAGCACAAACTTCTATAATGTATAAAAATCCTGTTTGCAATTTTTCTTTGCCTGCATATATACTCATTAGAACGTTCATCATTCACCAAGTTTTATAACTTGCCAGTAAAAGGAGATAACTAAAACACTTGTATTATTATCTACTATTTACTTGTTATTTTGCAAACGGTCAATATGCAAAAGAACTGGTGTAGTTGACAGCAGGAATTCATGTTTCGAGCCAGAAGAATACAAAAAACATAAACTGTAACATACTTCCACCGCATCTTTTTTTCTCTTTTTGTTTTTTTTGACATATAAGCAGATCTCCAAAATAGTTGGATACAGTTCCAATCAATACGAAAGAGATTGATAGTATATAGCAAATATAGTGGATTGTGTAATAGTTACTACACGCAATTTGACAGTGTATCAAATAATGGTGAATTGTATAATCATGAACGAAATTAGATAGATCAACACTACTGAGTGATCATCCACATAGCACCTAAAGTCTGTAACAAATCATTCCAAGTTGTATTTTACATGATACCAAAATCACAATTTTATTCACACAAGTCAGGTGGTGGTATGTTAATTCATACAATACAACATTAAATTGAAAAGCAACTCACTTCAAACAAAGCAAGCAGAAAGATTTCACATGGGAGATTCTTCATTCTTATATCACGCATACATACAATTGTAAATCATTAAATTTCATTTGATTAAAGTATTATAAGCTGTAAATGAGTACAAGCGAAAAACAGTTATTATATTTCACAATGCTTACTGCGGTATATTATAAAGACGCAACAAAGTCTTGTCAATTTGAAGGATATTACTCAACCTCAAGATGTCTAGTTATTTGCCTCCCTGAGGACCCTCAATATGGAAAGGAAGAGATTGAGAATGTCAAGATAAAGAGTGACCGAGGCTCCAATGTACTCGTCATAAGTGAAGCGCTTGATCAGATTGTCGGTGTCATACACAATATAGCCCGAGAAAATCATGGCACCAATTGCACCATAGATAGCATGGGCAGTAGGCCCAAGAGGGAAGAACATCTGCACCAAACGACAGCAAATCTTCAACAAAAAACAATGCCCAAGAGGAGCGTTAAAAACACCTTTTTTTAACTTCGATATCTTTTTAGTCCATAAATTTAGTGTAAAGTTGTTTATAGTTTCCCCAACTTAAAATTGTTCTTTTAAGTCTTGTAATTTAAGAAAAAAATGCCCAAACACAGTTAAGCATTCCACTTATGAGGGTAACAAGTTACAAGTCGGTCAACCTACTTTGATTATGCATTATTATCATCAAAAACCCACCGCATGTTGGTTTTCCTTTCAAAGTATTTATTCCAACTGTGTATAGGGTTAAAAAATTATTTAGTCCATGAAAATGGTCATCACGGTATCTAAAAACAATAACCAAGGACTAACATGTAGTCACGAGACGTAAATTCCACTGGCCAATCATTATTTTAACGCAGAGGGAATCGATTCTAAGAGCACCAGGTGGACACCCTGCGTGCCAGGGCAGAGCTCACAACCACTGGCTCAAGGGGCTTGATTAGGGTTAAAACATTTAGGTAGAGGAACTAAAACTTTAGTCAATTCATAGACTAAAAAGATGAATTTTAAATTTGAAAAACCATGTTTAAGTTTCCTACATTTATATTCTTGGGGAGACAGTCCAGTTTAACACATACTGGGATATTAAACGTGACAACTGTTCTAATGGGGAATTCAAAGCATGATCTATCGTAACCCCTTCTAGTAGACTCAATTAGTCATAAACATACATAATGCACACATCTTGAAATTCCAAAAACTAGTTATGAGGAAATAAGGAAGGTACCTGCATCATGCCGGTGAGGAAGAGAGTAAACAGGGAGGTGAACAATATCGGGCCAAGGAAGCTAAAATCCTTGCCCTTCTTTGAGGCCCAGAAGGCATATGCCGTGAGAGACGAAACCACAGCCGAGGTCAAAATCAACGCCTCAAGCACAATTTTCCCTGCATAATAAAAACACATTCATGTCAGATCAACCATATAAAACCCTTTCATTTCCCACATTTCAAATTGTACAGATCGGAAAACAATACGAACCGTCGGTGTTGGCACACGTGACTCCAATAGTGGAGCTGATGGAGACGGTGAAGAGTCCAAGGAAGATGTAATTATGAGGATGCTTCTGCTGGTACTTCAGCAGAGGAATCAAAACTGCAAGAAAATTCACACGGCTCGTAATCGATCAGGTCGTTACAAAACTCCTCCATTTATCGAAAATCGAGTCTAAACATAATTTATAAAACCCTCTCCTTCCTCTATTGAATAGTTTCAAAACGGATAATTACATGAATTAGAGGTTGGAAAAAAAAAGGGGGGGGGGGAAGGAGAAACTTACAGATGAAGGGGAGAAAGAGGAGGACAAGGAGGAGAGAGGAATTGCCCTTGAGGAGGTCGTTAATGGGGGAATAGAAAACGGTGACGAGAGAGACGACGGTGGTGAGGACGATCTGAACGGAGAGGATGCCGTAGACCTTGCGGATGAAGCCCCATCGGAGCTGGTTCTCGCCGAGGCTCAACCCTGGGTAGAGGGTTTCACCCGATTCGATGTCCAACTCCTCGGTCTTCGCACGTGTGTACATCTGCTGCGTCTCGAACATCTTTTCTCTTCCGATGGGACCAAACCAAACTCTTCTGTTCTTATGATCTAAATCTTCATCGTATCATATATGTTTGAATCGGTCTTTTCTATTCTCACATCGCGGTTCTTCAGAATGCTCACAGGCACAGCCACTGACGTTCGATTGCATACTGGGCCCCACCACCGTCCGATGATATTCGGGCCTTTTTGGTAATAATGACCATTATTTTATTTCCTTTTCTTCCGAATTTTCCTTTTTCTCTTTCGTATTTTCTTTATTTTCAGAAATTGTCCAATTCACTTCTTTTTTTACATAAAATTGTCCTATACGCGTTATGAACTAGAAAAGTTGGAAAATAGTAATAATACTAATATATTTTATATAGAAAAATATTCATTTAAAAATTGATGACTTGGTTATTGGTGTAAATTTTTAAATAATTTTTTTATCATTAAAATAGAACTATAAATTAAAGTAAACAACATATGTATAAGTATAAATTTTCATTTTTTTTATTTCTTGAGTCTGTTTGAGATTTTTAAGAAATATGTTTACTATAGTATGTTGAAAATTTATAATAATAACATAAGTTTTAAGAATAAGCTTTTCTTTAGTGTTTCATAAATTAAAAATTATATCACATTTTAAGGGAAAATAATTTAAAATATATCATATTTTCAATTTATTTTTTCATGTAAAGCTTTGGAGAGAAAAATAAATTGTGTTGGTGTTTGTGGGCTTCATTGTACCCGGAAGATACCAACAAACACCACGGTAGTCGGATTCGGGTTTGGATCCGGATTCTATTTATATCCGATTCTCCGTTGCCATTGCACCACCAAACCAAACTCAAAGTGAAGAAGAAACGGGAACACGATCCCGGTTTTCTCTATCTTCTCCTCCTAAATTACTTGGTTTCCTCTGATTCCGCATTTCTAATAGTCCCTCCAATTTCAAAGTTTTCTATCTCTTCCTACCCATTTATCAATGCTTCCAGGTAAATTTTGTTTCTGAAACCCTAACTTCTTTATTTATTTCCCGCTGCGTTGACTTTTTTTGTTATTATTTTATGATTCCTCACAAACTTCAATTCGTCACTCTTAATATTCATTCATGTAATTGTCTTCATTTCGTTTTATTTTTAGTAAATAATAATCTGTGGTTATTTTTTCTCTAGATTATGATGTTTGTCTTGTGAAATTGTTTGGTCCCTGAGAGAATGGAGAAACGTATTACGTGCCTGAAGGATTAGGATAGGGACGATTAAATTTTTAAGTAAGGTCATAGCTGTTTTGAAGTTTGTGCCTTATACAAGTCCGTTTATTTCAGTTATTACCGGAACAGTTGCCTTCAGCTTAGCTTATGGGACTGGAATGTGCTTCTGCTTGACTTGGAAGAGGGAAATTGAAGAAAAGAAAAGTTAATATATAACTTCCTAAAACCTTGAAAGTGTTTGAACGCTGCTGTTTCTACCTTGAATTTTTCTCCATTTATATATTTATAGTTGGAATTTAATGGATAAGAACTTGGGATCATGATTGTAAAGGAGCATTCTGTTGGTACTGAACTGGCAATGAATAATGCTATTGTGGAAGAAGAAATAGATTTTTCTTGTGATCCGTACATAGGGTTGGAATTTGACACAGCAGATGAAGCACTTAAGTTTTACACTTCATATGCAAATCGATCAGGATTTAAAGTTCGGATTGGTCAGCTATATCGATCAAGAACTGATGGGTCAGTTTCTTCTAGAAGATTTGTGTGCTCAAAGGAGGGGCATCAACTCAGTTCAAGAACAGGCTGTCCAGCATTCATAAGGGTGCAGCTAAATGGTTCTGGGAAGTGGGTGATTGATCATTTTCATAAGGATCATAATCACAATCTTGAAATCAGTGGTGAAAACTGCACCCCAACATTGCAACACAAGGGTGGTATAGTTGTCAACTCTCTTACTGAGTTTACTCGTAGGCCGAGAAAGAAATTGCTCGAAGAATCCAATGATGACTCCTCTTGCCCCTTTGGCATTATTGATTTCAAGCGTCTGAGAAGGGAAGAACTTGAAGGACAGTCCAAGACTGAACCATATGTGGGTCAAGAGTTCAATTCACCTAATGAAGCCTACCAATTTTATCATTCATATGCAGCACATTTGGGTTTTGGAGTTCGAATTGGTCAATTGTTTCGTTCTAAGAATGATGGATTGATCACATCACGCAGATTTGTTTGCTCTAAAGAGGGGTTCCAGCACCCTTCGAGAGTTGGTTGTGGGGCTTATTTAAGGATTAAGAGACAGCCATCAGGAAAGTGGACAGTGGACCGCCTCCGAAAAGATCATAACCATGATATGGACTTTGGAAAAGAGAGCAGGGCAAAAGGTCTTCCTGATTCTAATATTCTGAATGATGATGCAGATACTGGATTTGTAAATGGTGACTTGTTTAGAATCGATAACTTCCCTGTCCCTAGAGGAGGTAGGCAAAATCACATTAGAAGTGAGTGGTACAGTATTCTTTTAGAGTATTTTCAATCAAGACAAACAGAAGATACTGGATTCTTTTATGCCGTGGAAGTTGAGAATGGTACCTGCATGAGCATATTTTGGGCGGATGGCAGATCTAGATATTCATGTAGTCAGTTTGGTGATGTCCTTGTCTTAGACACATCATACCGCAAGACTGTGTATTTGGTACCTTTTGCTACTTTTGTTGGAGTCAATCATCACAAGCAACCTGTGCTTCTTGGATGTGCTTTAGTTGCTGATGAATCTGAAGAATCTTTCACTTGGTTGTTTCAGACATGGCTTAGGGCAATGTCTGGCCGGCAGCCTCTGACAATTATTGCTGATCAAGATATTGCAGTGCAGAGGGCAATAGCAAAAGTATTTCCTGTAACCAATCATCGCTTTTCTTTGTGGCAAATTAAGGCAAAGGAACAAGAGAACATGGGTCTAATGGGTGATGGCTTTACAAAAGACTATGAAAAGTGTGTTTACCAAAGTCAGACTGTTGATGAATTTGACGCCACATGGAATGTGCTACTCAACAAATATGGATTGAGGGACAATGCTTGGCTAAAAGAAATGCATGAGAAGCGAACATCTTGGGTTCCATTGTATTTGAAGGGCACATTTTTTGCTGGCATTCCCATGAATGAAAGCCTTGATTCATTCTTTGGTGCACTTTTAAATGCCCAGACACCTCTCACGGAGTTCATTCGTCGGTATGAAAGAGGTATTGAGCGACGCCGCGAAGAAGAAAGAAAAGAGGATTTTAATACTTCTAATTTTCAACCCATTTTGCAAACAAAAGAAGCAGTAGAAGAACAATGCAGAAGGCTTTACACCCTTTCTGTATTCAAAGTATTTCAAAAAGAGCTATTACAGTGCTTTAGCTATCTCGGGTTTAAAATATTTGAGGAAGGGGGCCTGAGCAGATATATGGTGCGTAGGTGTGGAAATGATATGGAGAAACATGTAGTTACATTTAATGCATCAAATCTCAGCACTAGTTGTAGCTGCCAGATGTTTGAGTACGATGGCGTTCTTTGTAGACATGTACTAAGGGTTTTCCAGATATTACAATTAAGAGAAGTTCCTTCTCGCTACATCTTACACCGATGGACAAGAAATGCCGAGGATGGTGTCTTTCCTGACATAGAATCATGGAGTAGCTCTCAGGAACTGAAAAGTTTGATGCTATGGAGTCTAAGAGAAACTGCATCTAAATACATAGATGCTGGTGCAACATCCATTGAAAAGTATAAACTTGCCTTCGAAATTTTGCGAGAGGGAGGGAGAAAGCTTTGTTGGCACCGGTGAATGCTTTACTATGTTCTGTGAGACTGTGCATACTTGTACAATTAGTTTTTGTAGCTTGAACTGTTTTTTCGGTGGCATTTTAGCTCTCTAATCAAATACTCGGATCTTTCTCCAGACATAGTATTTCTACATTTTTTATGTTAAGCTATGCATGTCAGATTGCTGGTTCTACCAATCATTGAGCTTTTCAAATTTTAAGTAGCCATAGAAACAGACACCCTGGCTCGTGATACCAGTTTTTTAAGTTGGCCTAGAAACAAAGACAACCTACCATTTGAGTATTTAATTAAGTTGCACCTGCCATTTCTATTACTCGGTTTCATAGTAAAAAGATCAGAATTGTTTTCCAGTGAGGAACACTTGCTTTTATGGTGGGAACTGCTTAAACAGGTTAGAGCAATAATTTTTTTAGGGCGGGTCTCTTGTCCTCCCAACTCTTTGTTGTCATCTTCTCTGTTTAAATGAATTTTTCCTATATTGAAAATATGGTGAAGTAAGAAGGAGGTTGAGTGGGTATGATGATGTCAATTCAAATTAATTTCATCGCTTCCATTTTTCCCATCCTTGATCTTGAAAACAGATTCCACGGTTGTTCATGCGTTTATACATGCATGTGGATTGAAGTTTGCAAAATTGAATTTGAATGAACTTGACTTTTTCTATGCCTCTGAAAGTCATGGTTACCCATTTAATCTCCAAAGGGTATAATGTGGTGTTAATTTGTGGTTACTACGTATTAAGAATAAAAATGTCCAATAAAAATTGTACACCAAATTGCAATATCTTAATTAAAATATTAATAGTTATGAATATTATATATTGATAAATATTAAATAAAAAAATTTATTCACCATATCATTATATCTATAATCTATAACTGAATATTGTGATAGTGAATTCTTTTTTAATTGTTTTTTTAGTATGGTCGAGAACAGAAAAATAAAAGTATGGTAGGTAAAAGGTAAAATATATATTATGATTTATATATTTAAAAAATTATTATTATGATTTATATGATTGGATAAAGAAAAATAAAAGTGTCATAATTTAAAATAAAAAATAATTATTATGATTTATATATTTAAAAATAGTAAAAATCTGATTTATAATTAATAGTAAAAAAATTATATATTTAAAAAGAAGATAAGATAAAATAAAATAATATTTTTAAAAAATTAATTGTAATATATATATATATATTGGTGTATATAATAATAATAATAATAATAATAATAATATCTTTTACACGTAATAAAGGATGTTAGAATGTTAAAAAAAATAGTAATAAAAAACTTTTTAAAGAAAAATGTCTAAATAACGATTATATTTTTTTAATAAAAAAACTTTCAATTTTGGTATCATGCAATTTTTTTTAATTTATTTTTTTCACAATTTGAATCTACCTATTCTAGGAAATTTACAATTTTGATATAATGTTCATTTTTCGTATTTTATTTTCTATTCTCTTTTTTAATTAATTAAATAACTTTCGAATGGTATCTTAAATGAATATGTTTATATATAGGGAGACATCTATAAAAGACTGATTTAATCAAGCATAAGCTTAAAAGTGTTAATTATTTTTTTCTGTAAGTGTTATTCATACCATAAATTACAATAACTTTTATATTTTTAATTAATTTATTGATAAAAATATTTTTGTTATGTACATTTTGACTGATTAATAATATTTTAATTCTTTAGTGATAATATTTATTTTAATTTTTTTATAATTAAATTTCTCAATCTGAAAAAAATGATCTTTCAGGAAGTTTAAGTTCGCTGGCAGAATACTATATATTTTCATTTCCTTTAGTTTTTATTCTTTAAGCATATGCATTCCACAATATCAATTTTTATTCTTATGTAACTAAAATTAAAAATAAAGTATTTTAAAATTAAAATTCATAATAATAGTTAATATAAATGTATTTTGAATATATAGTGAATAAATAAAACTTTGTTACAAACTCTCTTTATTTTTTATTCAATGGAAAAGCAAATAAGATATCATGGATAAAACTAAGACAATTGAAGATGGTAGTAAAGAAGAAATATATATATATATTTTTTTTTAATTTAAAGTAGCTTGGGAACTGAGAGATAAAAAATTATTGGGAATATGTAGCAAAGAGAATTATGAGAATAAGGGTCTCCCTTATATAAACTGAGGACATTAATTTATATAAAAAATAATATATAATAAGGATGAGTTATAAATTTCAATCAATATGTTATAGAAGAGAACCAGTCTGTTAGTTTTTTTATATATATTTTAAAAAAATATACATTCAATTATATGAAAAAATTTTAAATTTTTATTTATTAATTAATATTTTAACTAGATAAATTGAAAAATTATAATATTTATATATTAAAATGTTCAATTATAATTAATAATTTAAGTTTAATTAATTAATATTTATAATTTAAATTATAATTTTATAATATATTTAGATATTTTAATAATATAAAAATATAATATATATTTTTAATTATAATCCTTATTATTTTAATTTTAATATATAAATTTAAAAAAAAATCAATAAATCAATCTGTCTTATTTTATTCTTAACCTATGATAAATTAGATGAAATGAATTAAAAGAATAATAAGGTCCACCAATTTTTAAGCGGATTGATAAAAAATCATTAAATCCGATGCCTATTATCATCCTAAATTTTTATATATATAAACAATTATAATATACTGATGAATGGATATTTCTATACCATAATTGATTTTAAAATATATATATATATATATATATATATATTATAAAATAGATAAGTAAAGAAAAAAACTATTTATTAAATCTAAATAATTGAAAAATAATGAAAAAAAAGACTTAAAAAATTGTGTGTTTTGATCGAGCGAATAGAAAATAAATCACAAGTACCATTATTTTTAAAATTATTTTTACTGTCAACTAAATAAACAATATTAATTTTGCTCGCCCTCTTCTCCGTTATTTCTATAAATCAAATATATATATATATATATATATATATATATATATATATATTTTTTTTGAAATTTTTAGAGATTTAATAGTTACAAAAAAAATTTTAATTTGTATGTATTTTTTAATTTTAACTGTCTTTTATTTTTAATTTGAATACGGTGTTTGTTATTAGTTATTCTCACGTAAAAAATATTCATCCTACATATAATCTACGAAAAGACATGTTACTGCGTATATGTGTTTAGTTTTCATTTTTATTATTTTTCTTTGAAGAATTATTTAGAATCATATAATAGTTAAACTCAATTATAATTGTTTATTATACTTTATAAGCAAAAATAACACAACGATTTCAGAGAAGGTCTAGCAGGTTATATTTTGTTTTCACCTAATTTCCTATTTTATCTTTTAATAAATATAAAATTTAAGAATTAAAACGTTAAAAAAAATATTATATATAAATTGATATAGATAACAAAGAAAAATAGATTCAGAGTAAGAAAAGATAAAAGATTATTAGAATTAAAGATAATTAATGAAGAAAAGATAAGAAATAACTTTATGCGTGTAATCTTTGAAGCATTATAAATTAACACAAACTAAAAATGTAACGACATGCTTCAGCCATTGCAACGGTAGTTCCAGTTTTGTGTGGCGTGTACATGAGCAACGATGTGTGAGGGTGTTGTGTATGCTGCATCTCTTGCAATTTTCTGTTTGTTGGTGATATTATTGTGGGTATTGTGTTGGATAGCATGGCTACTGTATGCACGCCACGCGCAAACCGCACCAACCACACCCATCCAAGACATTGAGTCTGCTCAGCAACCCGGTTCAGGTCCAGCAAGAGCGAACGTTGCTTTGCAGATTGCCGCAACGAGAGGTCGAAGAACACTTTGGCGTGAAACGCTGATGTATTTCGCCCCCAAAGCAGAGATTTCGAGGCTTGCCGTCAGAGCCTTGCCTCCTGCTGCACCCTTCCAGGAGGATGAAGCCAGTACTCAATCTGAGTGCCCTATTTGCCTCGAAGATTTTATCAATCAAGAGTTAGTCCAACCTTTTGGAGTTTGCCTTCATCTATTTCATGCCCCTTGCATAAACTCTTGGTTACTCCAGGCTAATACTACTTGTCCAGTTTGTCGCAAGGAATTGACAATTAATCCCTAGCGCATGCAGAACATCATCATCATCATCTTTATTTTTCACTCAACCTTTTCTTATTCTATCTGTATTTATGGCTTTAGTGTGTGTGCAATATTTCAATTTTCATGCCTGCCTCATTCATTCTCCACGATGCTTTTGTTCGTGGGATACTTCTTTTCTTTTTCTTTTCCTTTGATGTACCATGGGAATTTTATTTCATAATTACTTATCAAAATTGTTGTTTAATTCTGCATTCATAATTTATGAGTATATCATTCAATTGTTAAAAAAAAAATGCTAAAGTTTGATTAATTATCCATACATAACTTACGAGTATACAAAATAATGGGAAAAATTGTATTATTTTCGTAATGCAACACTTTTGAATAAAAAAGTATTAAATGTTAAAAGTATTTTATTAATTATTTATATCCAAATATGTTTAAGTTTTTTTAATTAAGGAAATTGAATTATATCATATTTACTTTTTAATAAATTTTTAAAATGTAATGATATTTGTGTGTAAAGAATATTTAGAGTAGTTGCTTATAAAAATAAGTTAAAAGGAAATTAAAGTTTTTTTTATTATAAATGATTTTTAAGAATATTTGCTGTAAAAATACTTTTAATGTATAAATTTTGAAATAAAAAAAAACGTAGATATAATAGTTGAGATGTATTAAAAATAAATCTTATAAATAATATATTTTTAAAAATTAATTTAAATAGAGCTTTTCTATATTTATTTATCTAACTATATTGATTTACTGTTCATATATAAAATTTAACCGGACATCACTTTTTTTTGACATAATATAATTATTTTTCTTTGTCAATTTAGTATTTTTTTCTTTCATTTTTTTCTCTCGTTTTATCTTATTTTTTAATTAAAAATAATAAATTGAAATTTGATAAAGTGAATTTTTTATTATTATTGAAAAATAAAAATATTTAAATGATTCAGAAATATTATAATTTAATATATTATATTTTAAAAAATATTATATGATAAATTTGAAATATTATTACTATATTATAATTATTAAGAAAAATTAAGTATTTATTTTAAATTAATTTTTAATAAATATATTTTTAAAATTATCTAATCTAACTAATTATCATAATCTAATTATAACTATAATATATTATTAAATAAAAAATAAAATATTTGATTTTTTTAATTAGATGAATAATTATTTATTATAATAAAATAAGTTTAGACAATTATTCATTGTTAAAATAAATCAAATTATTTATTATCATAATTTTAAATAATTTTTTAGTTAATATTTTTTATTTTTATTGTTGATTTTAAAATATTTATTTTTAACAAATTTTATTAAATTATAATATAATAGCTTCATCTAAAAAATAAGTGAAAGAGAAGATAATATATATATATATATATATATATATATATAAGATGTATTAATATATCTATTTATTTATTTTCTATTTTTTTCTTTTAATAATAAAAATGTAAATATTTCTTGAAAAACATGAGTCCACCTTTCTTTTATTTTTTTAATGTTAGTTTATATAAAAAAGATCGTAAAAAATATAAAAGTGAAATAATAAAATAACCATCAATATTTATTAAAAAAATATATTTAATTATATTTTAAATTCGATAAAATGTTAATATTATAATTATCCATAATTAATTAAATATATTATTTATATTTTAGGATTTTTATCTTATTTAAAGATAATTATAAACTTAATTTAAAAATATTTTTTTATTTTATAAATATATTTATTACTTATGTATTTAAAATTATTATTACAATGAAAATAATTATTAAAAAAGTATTATTTTTTTGATAGAAATTAATTCTAAGTATAATGAAAGAGATAGAGAATTTCTTTCTAAAAAATATTTATGAATTGATAAATATTTTTTTAATTTAAGGTTTTTAAACTATTGTAATTCATAATCTAAAAAATAGAAATTGACACATTTAAACTAACTTTTGAAAAAAAAATATTCTTACATTGTTAAAAAAAAATTGCATTCGTTAAGACGACGTATTATCTCAATATGTATTATTACATCACAAAATTAAAAATAATACTTTATTTAAATAATTTATTTTATATATGATTTATCTTAATTTATTATTTAAATTAAATATTAAAAAACATTATTAATATTATTATTTAAATTTTTAATTAAGGATATGAAGATAATAAATTATCATAACTTAAATTTTAAATTAAAAAACATCATATCTAATTCATTCATTTTATATACTTAGATGTTATTAAAAAGTATTTTATTATTATTTGAATTTCGATTTAGAAAAAGTTAGGAGGACAAATTTTTTACAACTTACATTTTAAAAATATACCTATGTAATAATATAATAGTTAATTATTTGCTGCACTAAATATTTGAGAATGTGTTCAAGCCTTTCATCTTCTACATTCTAATTCATCATATTTTCATTCAATTGATTTTATTATTCACTCTATTTTATTTCTTTTTTATTTGAAGTCACAGTAGAAATACTAATTTTAATAAAAAATAAATACTGAATTGAGAAGAAGATATGGTTGATTTTAAAATAAAAATATTCTTTAAATATTTTAATTTTAATTTAAATATATATTTAAATCAATTTCATAAATAATATAATTTAAAAAATTACTTAAATTTATTAGTTTGTAAAGAAAGTATAAAGTAAAAAATATAAATATAAATGAACGAGTAACCAATAAAAAAATGTCAATATTTATTATCACGTATATACTTATTTAATATATATATATATATATATATATATATATATATATTAAAATTATAATTTAAATAAGAATAATTATATAATTATTTTCACTTTTTATATATATATATATATATATATATATATATATTTAAATATTATTTTAATAAGATATTATAAATATGAAGGTGATTATAAAAATTAAATGAAAATTTTATATAATTTTTATTTGTTTATAATATAATATTATTTTATTAATTTAATTTAAAATAATTTAGAAAAAAATTATAATAAATATTTTATAAGTATATTAAAAAATAGTTATATAAATTAAAAGTATTATTATAAATAATTAATAAATAAAAAAATTATTTAATAATTATATTAATAATTTTTCAATTAAATAAATATTTATTTTTAATTTCATTATTTATTATTTTTTGAAATTAACATTTTTCTATGATTTTTTTCCTCGAGAACAAGTAAAATTTTGACTTTATTTCATCACACTTTATCTCTTTCTTCACTTATTTTGTTATTATTTTTTCTCTCATCATTCAAATTTTTTATTTTCCCATTCCCCGCTTATTTTTCTCTTTTCCCTGTACTTGTCTCACCTCTTTTACTTATTTTATTGTTCTAATTAAAAATAATATATTGAAATTTAATAAAATAGATATTTTATTATTTCTAAAAAATAATAATATTTAAATTAATAAAATATTAAAATTTAATATATTATATTTAAAAAAATATTATATAATAAATTTTAAAGTATTATTGTGATGTTATAAATATTGAAAAAATTAATATTTATTTTAAAGTAATATTTTTAATAAATATTTTTTAAAATGATTTATTGTGACCATTATCATTACTCAATCTAATTATAATTAAATTAAATTTATTAAATAAAAAATAAATTTAACTTATAAATATTTTATATTTTTAATTAGATGAATAATTGATTTATTATAATTAAAATTATTTACTCGTTGTTGAATATAGAAGTAATAGAGTTTGAGATTAATCTCCCTTATGTATAAATCACACATAGGGTAGTCTATTTATAGTAGAGAGATACAACTAAAAGAGTAACTAAAAGTAACAGAATAAACGAAGATATTGTTTGATATTATGGTTAATATATAACAATATCTTAACAATATTAAATAATATCTAAACAATACCTAACACTCCCCTCAAGCTTGGAGCATACAAATCGTATGTGCCAAGTTTGTTACAAATATAATCAATTCTAGGACCCAGTAAAGATTTAGTAAAAATATCTCGCTAATTGATCACTTGAGTTAACAAACTCAGTCTTGATGTCTCTAGACATAATCTTTTCTCGAATGAAATGACAGTCAATCTCAATGTGTTTGGTCCTCTCATGAAAGACAGGATTAGAACTAATATGAATAGCAGCCTGATTGTCACACACAAGTGACATTTTAGTGACATCTCCAAATTGTAACTCTTTAAGCAATTGCTTGAGCCAAACAAGTTCACAAACAACTGAGGTCATAACTCTATATTCTGCTTCTGCACTAGATCTTGCCACAACACTTTGTTTCTTACTTTTCCATGAGACCAAGTTACCACCAATAGAGACACAATATCCAGATGTAGATCTTCTATCCGAAGGAGATCCTGCCCAATCAGCATCTGAGTAGCAAACAACTCGTGTATGGTTATTAGAATCATATAACAATCCTTTTCCAGGAGATCCTTTAATATACTTTAATATACGAATGACTGCATTCCAATGATCTTCATATGGGGAATTAAGAAATTGGCTTACCACACTGACTGCAAAGGAAATGTCAGGATGAGTAACTGTAAGATAATTCAATTTTCCAACCTATCTTCTATACTGCCCAGAATCAAGTATAAACTCCCCCTGATTTGGTAAAAGTTTAGTATTGGGATCCATGGGCGTATCAACAGACTTTGAATTCATCAACCCAGTTTCCTCTAAAATATCCATGGCATACTTCCTCTGAGATATAACAATACCATCATTGGATTGTGCCACCTCAATACCCAAGAAATATCTAAGTTTGCCAAGATCTTTGTTCTGAAAATGGTGACAGAGATGTTGTTTCAATTGAGAGATGTCATGGTTGTCACTACCTGTAAGAACGATGTCATCAACATATACTATCAAGTAAACACATCCAGCACTTGAGTGTCGATAAAAGACAGAGTGATCTGCTTCACACCGAGTCATACCAAATTGTTGAACAACCTTGCTAAACTTTCCAAACCAGGCCCTAGGAGACTGTTTTAGGCCATATAGGGATTTGCGAAGACGACATACCATCCCAGAAGACTCCCCCTGAGCAACAAACCCAGGAGGTTGCTCCATATAGATTTCTTCTTGCAAATCACCATTGAGGAAAACATTTTTAACATCTAGTTGATAAAGAGGCCATTGTTGAAGAACGGCCATGACGATAAATAAACGAACAGAAATCATCTTTGCCACAGGGGAAAAGGTATCTCCATAATCCAACCCAAAAATTTGAGTATAACCTTTGGCCACAAGACGAACTTTGAGGCGATCAATAGTACCATCAGGTCCAACTTTGATAGCAAACACCCACTTGCAACCAACAACAGATTTCCCAGACGGTAACGAGACCAATTCCTAAGTTCCACTATTATGAAGAGCACTTAGTTCATCTAACATGGCCTGACGCCAACCAGGATGAGCTAAAGCTTCACGGACAGTTTTTGGAATGGTCACAGAAGAAAGAGATGAAAGACATGTATAAAAAGGTAATGACAGTCAATGATAACTCAAACCAATATAATGAGGAGAGGGATTACGTGTAGAACGAATACCTTTTCGGAGGGCAATGGGAAGGTCAGACTCAGGTGTCACATCCGGAGGAGACAGAGTAGTTGACACTTGAGTAGAGTCACATGGTGGTGGTTGTGATTGGTTTTGGCAACTATAAACCTGAAGAGGCAGTGAAGAAGAAGCTGACTGCGGAGTAGAATCTAATGGTGAAGAAGACACAGTTAGAGGGTCACAAACAATAGGAACATTAAATGTACTAGGAGTGTTGACAAAATTGGATGGAGACAGAGGTGAAGATTGACTTTTAAAATAAAAAGAAAACTCATCAAAGGTGACATCTGCAGACACAAAATAATGGTTAAGAGAAGGAGAAAAACATTTGTATCCTTTTTGTGATCTTGTAAACCCTAAGAAAACACATTTATGTGATCTAGGAGAAAACTTGTCAAGACTAGAACTAAAATTATGAACAAAACATGTAGACCCGAAAAATTTTAGAGGTAAGGGATGAAGTGGTTCATGAGGGAATAAAATGGAATGAGGTATTTTATTATCTAGAACCGAAGATGGCATGCGATTAACAAGATAACATGCAATAAGAAGAGCATCACCCCAAAAATGCTGAGGAATCTCTCCATGAATTAAAAGAGTGCGAGTTGTTTCAATAAGATGTCTATTTTTATGTTCAGCTACACCATTTTGTTGAGGTGTATAAGCACAAGAAGTTTGATGCAAAATACCATGAGAAGCCATGAATTGTTTAAAAGAATGAGAAAAATATTCACGACCATTATCACTGCGCAAAACTCTAATAGAAACACCAAACTGAGTTTGAATTTCATTGAAAAAAGTTTGAAAGATATGAAATAATTCAGAACGATTTTTCATCAAAAATAACCAAGTGCATTTAGAATAATCATCAATGAAAGTAACAAAGTATTGAAAACCTAAAGTAGACTTAACGCGGTTAGGTCCTCAAATGTCAGAGTGAACCACAGCAAAAGGGGACGAAGCACCACGTGTGACACTATGAGGAAAGGAAGTACGACTATGCTTGCCTAATTGACACGACTCACATGCCAAACTAGACAATTTAGATAAGGCAGGGACAAGTTGCTGTAACTTGGCAAGACTTGGATGACCTAACTGAGCATGGAGAAGAGAGGGAGACTCTATAACTGCATCAACATGTGTAAAGGACGAAGATGATAAAGACCATGAGACTCACATCTTGTGCCAATCACCTGTTTCGAACTCTGGTCCTGTAAACACACAGAATTGTTGGTAAAAGAAACAACACAATCAAGAGAACGAGTTAGACGACTGATGGATAACAGGTTAAAAGGAGACCCAGGGACATAAAGAACATTATCAATGGTTAAAGAAGGGAAAAGTTTAAAAGTTCCAACACCATGAGATGATACTCTAGAGCCATCAGCTAGTGTAACAAAAGGTAAAGGATCATGAGAGGATAAAGAGGAGAACAAAGATTTGTTACCGGTAATATGATCAGTGGCTCCTGAATCAAAAACCCAAGGACCAAAAGAAGATTGGGTCAGACCAGCAAAAGATGTACCTGTGTGTGCGACAAACACAGTGGAACTAGAAGACTGTTGATCCTTATACCATTTGAGAAATTTGTTGAACATAGCAGGTGTGTCTGATGAAATAGAAGAAGGAGGATCCTTAGCAGATAAAGGTGGGGAAAGATCAGTCTGAGCAACTGCAGTAGATCGAGTAGGATGACCATGTAATGCATAACACTTGTCAATCTTGTGACCTAGTTTGCCACAATGTTCACACTCATGTAATGCATAACACTAATCAATCTTGTGACCTAGCTTGCCACAATGTTCACACTTAGGACACCCTTTTCCCTGTTTGCGAGGGCGAGTTCGATCATCACGGTGAGATACCAATGTAGAAGAATCATTAACAGAAGCAGGTGTGTCAGGGTTGGGTTTTGCTGGTATATGCAAAAGAGTGGAGCAGGTCGATGTCAAGGTGGGGACAATTGTAGAACCCAAAATCTGATCACGAATATGTGAATATTGATCAGCAAGTCCGTGTAATGCCCCTAGCATGGAGAACTTTGATCGTTGTCCTATCTCGGTGGCAGAGTCGGGGGAAAGAGGCAATAACTCATTGAACTCATGAAAAAGAGCATGAATTTTGCCCATATAATCAGTCATAGAATCTTGATGTTTAGAGGCAATAACATCTACAATTTTAGAACAGACATCATAGAGACGTTGAGTATCAATGGTGTATAATAACTTGGCATGTTCCCAGATTTTGGCACATGTTTCGTAGGAACGAAAAATTTGTTTTAACGAAGGATCAAGAGTACCCTTGAGAACCAGCATAATTGAGCATCAATGGTGTCCCAACGGTCTTCCTCACCAGGAGTGAGAGTAGGTGCTTTCGGGGCAAGATGATCAAGATACCTCGACTCTTAAGCCATAATCTCGACGTCTGATGACCATGTGGCATAATTAGGGTCGGTTAACTTGTCAATGGATAAGTGCACATTAACATAGTTAGTGTAGATGGAAGGATCAGACGCAGATCGACTGTAATTGGAAGTACTAAAAGGAGCGTAAGAACCGATAAAGGGCGGAGGCGATAGTGACAAGCGCGTGAACCAAGTACACTAAGTAAGTTCCCAGGAAAGAGAGGTGGGTCAATAATAGACACGCTTAAATATCAAGTCTTTCCTTGTCAGAACTTTCCTAGACATGCACTTTCACACTACCAAATAACCAACAACGATAGCGGCGGTGGTGGCGGCTTCAATAGTGGTCAAAGGCGAAAAAAAAAAATTCAAAATAACCTTAAGCTTTAGATACCATGTTAAATATAGAAGAAATGGAGTTTGGGATTAATCTACCTTGTGTATAAATCACACATAGGGTAGTCTATTTATAGTAGAGAGATACAACTAAAAGAGTAACTGAAAGTAACAGAATAAACAGAAGATATTGTTTGATATTATGGTTAATATCTAACAATATCTTAACAATATTAAATAATATCTAAACAATATTTAACAACTGTTAATCATAATTTTGAATAATTAATTGATATATTTTTTTAGTTTCTATGTTAATTTAAAAAAAATTACTTTCATATATTTTTATAAAAAGCCTTGGGGAAATGAAAGAAAAAATCACATATTAACAATAAAAATGTGTAAATAAATTAATATATAAATTTTAATAGATAATTCTTTTTAAAATATAGTATTAGAAGGATTGATTGTATTTTTCTTCTCTCTTTCTCCATATATATATATATATATATATATATATATATATATATATATATATATATATAATTTCTATCCTCTTTATTGGTAACATATATAAAAAGAAGAATATGTTTTATATATTATAAATATTATTAAAAAATTACTTACATAAATATACAGTAACAATGAAATAGTTTGTTCAATTTATTTCAATCATCATCATTTATAATTATATTAAAATCAACATTACTCGTTGCTATATTATTAATAATTTTTTATGTATTAATCTATGTAATAGAAAAAAAGGTTGGCTACACAATTTCTAATTTATTATATTTATTTTTAACTATTATTATAGATTACATTTTATTTTTATTTTAAATGTTAATGTATATCAATATATAATAATAAAATTATTGCAAAATATATCAAGTTAAATTCAATAAATATATTAGTACATAATATATATATATATATATATATATATATATATATATATATATATATATATATATATATATATAAAAGGTAAGTTTTTTTTCTTAATCCCAATATTTTTGGGAAAGTCATATATATAAAAAAAAAATTTAACCGCATTACTTTTCTTTTAGGTATTTGAAAATTTTAAATTATTCCTAAAAATATAAAAGATTAAGTAAATATTTTTAGATATATAAAACAACAATATTTAGTTGTAATCTTGGGAATACAACATAATTTGAAATTAATATATAAATAGATATACGATGATATACAAACTTTATAGAAAATAAAAATAAATTAATAGATGAAAATATCAATATTTTTATAATAAATATTATTAAAAAAACGCCTAAACTAGTAAAAAATCTATAGAAATAGGAAAATAATCACTTTACTCAGATTATTTCAAATTATAATATTTATTTAAATATTAGAAACTAAACAAATATATCCTTGAAATCATCATCGTACACTCATCAATAATTCTTTATGTATTAATATATATGTAACGGCAAAAACGATTGAGTATAACTTTGAAGTTTGTTAAATTAAAATTTAGGTTTTTAAATTTAAAAATCAAATATATCATAAAAATATTGGTGCATGAAATTTTGCTAGTCTATATAAGGTGAGTTTTTTTATTTGAATTCCCACACTGAGATACATGATCGATTTCTCCACAATACTTATGGGTTGGGTTGAGAGTACGTTGTCTCTGTTGTTAATGGTTATTTTTGTTATTTTTGTGGCTCTTATTACAATGCACCTGGGCACCATTGGAGTTTTCATATTGTGGGGTGGTGTATTGCTCTTCTGGCATGTGTTAAATGTTGAAAGAGGTAACTCAGAGGATGACATTGAGGCTCATGCTACAGGGAATCCCATTTTGGTTGCAAGAGAAAGGAATCAAAGACAACCATCTTCTCAAAATGTAGACCTTCCTTCTTTGAACCCCAAAATACATATTGCTATGCTAAGCATCAGACATTTGCCTCCTGTTCTATGCTTTCAAGAGGATGAAACCACTCAGTCTCAAAATGTTTGTTCTGTTTGCATGGAGGAGTTCAAGAATGGAGAGTTAATTCAACCTTTTCCAGTTTGTCAGCATCAATTTCATTTCTATTGCATCAATTCCTGGCTACTTGATGGAAACACTACTTGCCCACTTTGTCGCGGGGATCTCAGCATTGTTACTGAAACTGAAAGATGAGTTTTTTTTTTTTTTCAAATTTTTTTTTAAAATGTTGTTGGAGTAATGATTTAAGGATATTTTCTAACTACAAGCACTTCATTCATACTATTTCAATTTATGTTTGTTTTATCATTAATACCCCGCGTGACATAGTTTTCGGATAGAGTTTTTAAAACAAATTAACCAATTATTTAATATCAATATTTATAATGAAGCAAAAAAGATGAGATTTTTTTTTTCAATTTTTTATTTTATTTTTTTATTGACAATAAACAGCGTGAACCAAGGAGAGGATAATAGAAAACTATTTGAAGGTAGGAATGGATATATTTGATGGGAGAAGAGAATTGCAGGACGTAAAATAAGTTATGATGAAAGAATGTAAAATAGTTAGTTAAGAAAAAGAATGAAATGGTTTGGAATTGGTTGATAGGAAGAGTTGTTGGTTCGTTTACGTTTTGCAGAAAAACTGTGGAGTGGATAATAATAGATAACTTTATATCCTCAACGTACCAATTGAATCATGCAACGCAAGAGTAGAGAAATAGATTGACATCAACATACAGCGGCGAGTGAGTGGATAATGTTGATAAAACAAAATTCCCTCCTTTTTCGCACGTCTTTCTCTTCTTAACAAAACCTCTGTTATGAACATTGTGAAAGTTGTTTTTTAAGTGGTGTGGTGTGAACCTCTTTTTCCCCTAACTTTTTTCTTCAAAGTTCTCATTCTTTTGTGGAACAGAAAGGAACTTATGATGAGCGACGAATCAATGGTATCCACTCTCTCAAGGGTGTCTTGTCAGGAATTGTACATTTACTCTTCAGTTAAAAGATAACGCTGGTAGTTTTGGTATTGTTGTTCAGGAACTCTCACCCCTTCTCTCCCACTTATGTGTCTAAAAACCCATTAAATTATAGGCCCCCAAAAACAACTTTATCAAAACTTAGACTAGTTTCTTCTAGGTATACCCTACCTTGACAATCTCGTAGACATTACAATACAACCATAACTTAATCAAGAAACAGGACATCTGGATAAGGTCCACTCCAGTAATAATCTCTCATCTTCTGGTGTATTTCACTTCAAAACATTCTCGAGTAGGCTTCAGGCCACGTATCTGCTTTCAGTGTTGTGCTAGAGAATCCGGTTCCTGAGCCTTTATGCTTTATTCCACTATTATTTTGCCTATAGTCAAGTTGGTATTGTGCTTGCTACACTGGCAAGGGAATAGGCTTTGGTATATAACCGTATAGAGTACAACAGTTTTCCTTTTTGGGTTTTTACACTTTACCAGCAGAATGCATCCTTCTTTTTTTTCTCAAAAGAAATCTGTTACTTGTCCTTTTTAACTTAAGAAAAGGTCCTGATTCTACTTTATTAAATGCCACGGAATTTAAGATGAGTAGTTAAATATATGCTTCTCACCATAATACAAGAAAGCATATACCAATTTCCATAGACTAACAGATAAGCAGTGTTTTCCATCAGTGATGGATACATCATACTGACCCGACACAAGTAACAACACTTAGCTTCATCAAACATTAACAACAGCTATACAATGCTTTCGCCTCTCAATTCTGCATATACATATTACACATGTAATGCCAAAATACATGAACCAAGAAAAGATCACATGGACTTCAAATAATTTACACATCTTATTCTTCCTTATACTTGCTTTGCGTGACACGTCAACGTCAACTTTAATGCTTCATTGGCGAAACCAGAGTTTCAACATAAACTTCTGCATCAAACCAGCCCTTCCCACTCTCAACCCTAGGGTACTTAAACGAGTTATCTCTCGGGTCATATAGGATCAAGTCAAACTCAAACATCAACAGCACTTCACCCTTCTCTGAAATGTAATAAGGCCCTGAGTAAGAAAAATCTTCAGGATTTGGCAAATAAGGAATGCTTACCAATTTAACCCAAGACTCTCTCATCCCGTAATCCTTCATCATCCACACAACAAAATGAGTTTTCTTGTAATCATAATTCATGCACAGACATTCCTGCAAAACACCCAAAGTAGGGATGGAACAGTCTTCCTTTTCATAATCAGGTGGCAGAACTTCCCTATATTTTTCCTCATGCAAATCCAAGGAAATAATAACCCACAAAGAAGTTGAACCAACAGGGTGATTGGCAGCCCAATTCAGCGTGCCACTAACAAACTGCCCTGAATTTTGGTAGGGTGAGAAACCATGAGGGAAATCCTGAATCTTCCTCCAAGAATTGGAGGCTATGCTGTACAGCTTCACTTTACACTCGCTATAAATCTCATTAGGGTCACAAAACACAGCCACCACCTTGTAATCCTCGGTGACATGATCGTAACCAAGGCCAAAGGCAGTGAAACACCCTGGCCTCCAATTATTACCCAAAGGTGGTGATTTCTTTGAGATCCTCGTGGAGGGGTTCCAAAGAAGCACACAATCACCCTTTATAGCAAAACATAACAACCCATTACAAGAGCCAACAATCCCATCGTGACGAAACTTGTTCTTCACAGGGTAATAAAGGTCATCACAAACTGTTGAAGGGTTATTGAACAAGGAACGCACAGAACATGATTTAAGGTGAAACTCAGCTGTCGTGGCACTCAATATGATCCTGTGGTGGGTGAAGTGGGTGCTTCGAGTTGACAAGTGAAGGTGTTTTTTCATGAAGTAAGGATCAGAAATAAGGGACATCCATGACTTGCACACGCACCTGAACTGCAACAGAGACTTCACAGGAAGCCTCGAGAGAATTTCAACAACGAGCTCATCAGGGAGAAAGGGTAGTTGAAGTGAATCTGATATGGCTTGGTTCTGAACAGAAGATGATGGCTGTGGTGAGGCTCTGTCCATGGGGTTGATGAGCCTTTCTCTCTTCCTGGTGAAGCCAAGGCGGTGGAGGTAACCCTGCGATGACATGTTAGGTTGAGGTGATGGAAGAGTCTGTGAGAGTGGTGGTGACCAGTGACGAGTATTTGTGTTCAGTATGAGACTGTGTGCGTGAGAGAGAAAGAATCATGTGGTGGTTAATGACGATGATGTTGATGATGAATAAATTATTGATTGCTGGACTCTATTAAAGTAAACCATAAGATGAAAATCCGTGCTGTTTGATTTAGTATACCATGCCACGTTGCAGTTCTGGAAAGACACTAGCGTGTGCTCAAGATAAAGGAGAAGAAGAAAACAAAAAAAAGAATCAAATAATCTATGACTTACTACATAAAAAATTTATTCCACAAGACACGTATAAAATATAACTATTTTTTATTTTGGAAAAACTAACCAATACCTTACATAACAGTTAAGTAATTAAAAGTAAAAAATAAAATAAAAATGAATGTAGTGTAGTACATTGTTTTCCTATATTGTGTGTAACTCAGACATGAAAATGCTTTTGACGAAGTAATCCCTCAGAGAATCCAAGGATTTCCTAGACTTACAGTGCTAGGAGCTACAATTTCATATGCACTTGCACTTGATGAACAACAAACAACTTTTTCATCTCATCACTTCAATTGTGGCGTTTCTTTCTTTTTCTTTTTTCACTTTGATCTATCTTTTATAAGAAAAATTTCATTGGCGGCTTAGTTCTCTGCCACTCACTCTTAGAAGGTTCAGCTTCATCCACAAGATGTCTATGCGATGAACATCAGCTTTAACATTCTTATCATTGAGCCCCACACCCACCACCGCATTCTTTCTGTTTTATTTGATTTTTTTTTATATATATATATTCACTTGTCTTTCTTTCCTTTCTCTGGATAAGATGACACCAAGTAATGAATTCTATGAGTCACTCAAAAACATGATGAAGCGAAATTGAGAAAATCCATCCTAGTAGCTTCTTCTACCACGATGTGGACAGTGAAGATGCAGTGCATAGTCTATTCTACCCTGTTCACTGTTTAATCATGTTTACTTATTATAACATGTCATTTTGTAGCTTGTTTATTTGTCCATATATCAATGATACCATTCCATTATTGTAATTGTTTATCATGAACTTGTTTCAATTTTTTAATACCTTTAAAAATGAGGTGACATAAACTTTGTCATTTGAAGTCATCATTACTTTTATGAAAGCCTATCATATCAGGGTTTTATAAAAATATCACTTAACAATACTATTATTAGAAAGTATATTATATATATATATATATATATATATATATATATAATTGTATTTTATTTTAAAAAATATAAACTAAAATACGTATTTATTTTTTAATATAGATATATATTTTATTTATAAGATAATAATTATGTATAAACATGCTCAAAAATTAAAATTAATTAAGATATTATGAAATTAAAGTATATATGATACACTGTATATTTTATAAAGAAAAAAAATCTCAATCTATAAAACTGTTTAAAAAATAAAACATATCAGTTTATTATGACTTTTTCATGTAATTCGATAATATTGGCAATCCATCTACGAGGATGAACAAAGAAAATACTCAGCTGTTTTTCAAACTAGAGCTAAACTGAAGGAATTGGGGGAAAAACAAAGAACTTAATAATACCCAAAAAACATAGCATTAAGAATTCTACCAGAACAACAGAATTTACAAATCTACGTAGAGAACACCTGACATATCATAACACTAGTTTGATTCCCTAGAGTCCGTTGAGAAAAAAAAAAAATGTCAATGTACACGTCCAATGCACTATGCATATCTAAACTGTTTCAAGAACCAAAAAATAAAGCATAACCTAACCCAAACACATGAAGCCAATCATCCGCCACCGCAACTACATAGCCACTCTCACTCGCCGCTCGCGCCACTCCCCCGCCACCCAGAAACCCCCGCTCCTCTACACCGCTGACACAACCGCCGATAATACCGCCACCTTGCAGGTCCTCTCGTGGGGCAGAGGCGCCTCCGGTCAGCTCGGTGGCGGCGTGGAGGAGACCCGCCTATACCCTTCTCCGGTGGCCAACTTGGCCGTGCCCAAATCCTCCTTCTCCCTGGCCCAAACCCCTGGCGACCTCCCCCAAGCGGAGAAGCGGCGGCCCCCCGAAGTGGGCCTCTCGTGTGGGCTTTTCCACTCTTCGCTCGTCGCCGATGGGGCCCTCTGGATTTGGGGCAAAGGAGATGGCGGAAGATTGGGCTTCGGCCACGAGAATTCGTTGTTCGTTCCCACCTTGAATCCTCACCTGGAAAACCTTCGCTCTGTCGCCCTCGGTGGCTTGCACACCGTTGCGCTTACGTCAGCGGGCGAGGTCTTCACCTGGTCAGAATCACTTCAACTTCGAATTAGTTATTTCATTGGAATCTCTGATTGTTGTTTCTAAAATCAGGCACATAAGACGTTGTGTTTTGATATAAATTATGTGAAGTAAGAATTAATTAATTAGACTAGAAACATTTTTAAAAATGGACATCAAACGCACCATTACTTTCTTGGAATTTCTGTTTGGTTGAAGAGTGATTGTTTCTTATATCAGAAACTTGATGATTAATGTGAATACTAGAGTTAGGTGATCGTCTAATGTTGTTACGGTGAAGCCAAATTTGATTGATTAAAGTGATTGACAGATAGTGTTGGTGATGTAAACTAAGACTTATTACGTTGTGTACATGGAGTTTCTTTTCTCTTTTAAGGGCATGAGGTAAGAGATGACAACTTCGAGAGGAGCAAATATCAACTACATAATTTAAATGAATTTTGCTTTATTGTATAACTCCAATAGACGGTTAAAGTTGAAACTAATTAAAATAAATTTTACTAATTATTTTTATTTTTGTGATCAAGATATCATCATCTCACAAGATAAGTCTCCTGTGGTTGAAATGCTGTTTATTTTACTTTATTGGTTGACTGAGAATACCACAAAAGTGGTTGGACTTAATGTCTGAACTATGTTTATACAGGATTAGAAATTTTGAATTCTCATGAAAATAAACTATGCTTGGCTCAAACCTCCAAAAAATTTTACTCTACCGTGCAAGCTTAACACTTTGTTAAGGTTGAGAATAGTTTTGTACTTTGAGGGAGTTAAAAGGATCCTAAATTTTATGATTCATGCTTTCCTTCCTCTCAATAAAATTAATTTTTATGGATGAAAATGAAGTTTTTCAGGGGTTATGGCGGTTTTGGTGCACTTGGACACTCAGTATATCACCGAGAGCTATTTCCTAGGTTGGTAAAAGGCTCCTGGGAGGGAATTATAAAACACATTGCTACCAGTGGAACACATACAGCAGCAATCACAGAATCAGGTTTTGTATGATGGCTGGAACTTTATATCAGCATTATTTAAACAAATTTAGTTTGATGAATAGTTAGGAGAAATAATTACTGAATTTAAAATCTGGCCGATTACTTCAGTTGTGCTTTTCTTCTGTAAAATTATTTCCCACATTTTCTTACCCTGAATTGTGATAAGGCCGAAAGAGTTAGTGGACCTTGTGAACCACTAGTACAAGAAGGGAGTAAGCAAAGATGGGGAAGAGTATATGTGAGAAAGAAGAAACATATGGCTGAGGTGGCATAATTAAGGGGGAGGGCAGTTAGAGGAGAGAGAAGGATATTATCTGTTAGGACGTATCAATTATAAGTGGAAGGAGGGGATGTTAGTGAGGGGGAAGTCTTTTTGTAGACAGAAAGAGGAACCGGTTGGGTTACTCTAGAGGAGCTCAGTTCTGGGCAGTAGGAGTTGTTATCCTTCTGTATTTCCCTTTAATGTTGCAAATAATACAGAATAGTAGTATTTCTTTCTTCTTCTATTTTATGCTTGGACTTTAATCTTTATTTTGCGGTGCTGGTCCGTATCAAATTGTTTATCTTTTTTCTTTTATTTTGGAATACAAAAACAATCTGCCAAAGATATAAAAGAATTTAAAATGTTCTTAAAATTACAGGCTCCCTGACACTTATTTTCTTAAAATGTGATTGAATGAAGATGTACATTTATTATACATAGTAAATCTGATTGTTTGATGTATTGAAAGTTATTTTCAAGTCTTTGAAAGTGTAATGCTTGGTTGCTGGCAGATAGAGATTTCTATTTTTATGTTTAGCTTTGAGATGGCCTTTGGGACTGATGTATGGTTTGTATTGGATGTAGGAGAGCTTTATATCTGGGGTCGAGATGAAGGGGATGGTCGATTGGGCCTTGGCCCTGGTCGGGGCCCAGATCATGCTGGTGGACTTAGTATCCCCTCTAGAGTAAAAGAATTACCTTACCCTATGGCTGCTGCTTCCTGTGGGGGATTTTTCACAATGGCATTGACAGAAGATGGGCAATTATGGAACTGGGGAGGTAATTGTCACCTGATTTATGTTGTTTTCCCTGTTTTTTCTGTAGAATACTAGTAAACTTATTTTATCCAGTGCTTTTACTTTTGGAAAATTGATAGTGTTGGCATTTTCTCAGCCAATTCTAACTATGAACTTGGGAGAGGTGATAAGATTGGTGGTTGGAAACCAAGGCCCGTACCCAGCCTTGAGAATGTTAAAATAATTCAAATAGCAAGTGGTGGATATCATTCCCTAGCATTAACTGGTATGTTTACGTGTCATTAAGTTAGTGTTATTTCTTTTCCATTCTCATGGATTATATCATTATAACTACATTCTTGATTTACCTTAGATGATGGCAAAGTGCTCTCATGGGGCCATGGTGGACAAGGTCAGTTGGGCCATGGATCTGTCCAGAATCAGAAGATACCAGCAGTAGTTGAGGCTTTATCTCATGAGCATATTATATATATTGCCTGTGGGGGTTCCTCATCAGCGGCTGTGACGGGTAATAATTTACCTCAACTGTCATATTGTACTAGTGGTACAACTGATACTAAGAAAGTCATGCCACAATACAGATGTAGAGACAGAGAATAGAGAGAAAAAGAGAACAGTTATTCTTTATTGATTAATGAGAAATGGAGAGTCTCAGCTCTCCTTACAATGAGTTTCCAAAATCTGCTACTTCAGTTTATTTACATTGCTATTTATACCCCAAACCCTGCAGAAGACCACAACTGCTAGATCAAAGATTGTTAGGAACCAAGAATTGGAAAGAGAGTTAGTCCAACTTGATTAAATTTAATTGAGGTGGGTTGAAATTTAGACTAAATTCAACCCTGCCCACCTATACCCATTAACAAAGTGCAACAAGTTTATTAGTTTCAATTTATTCTAAGCATTCAGTCATCTTGACATCTGTTCCCACACAATTTTCTTAATTATTTTCATACCTGCTTTTTGTTGACAAAAATCCATATTAATGACTAAACAACATAATAGAAATGTTAGATTTTTCAACAGGATATAAATATAACCAATTCATATTAGTGCAAAAACAATTTCATAAAAGGACTGAATATATTGAAGTTGATTGTCATTTTATATGTAAAAAGATTAAGTATAGCAACATGAATACAAACTTCGTCAACTCTATTGATAAGTTGATAGATATCTTCACCAAGTCTTTGAGGGGTTTTGGAATTGGTTACATTTGTAATAAATTAAGCATATGATTTATATGCTCTTGCTTGAAAATAAATGTTTAAAATAAGCAAAAATATCATGTATTTATTTAATAGTGATTCTATAGGGACATATTATCCAATTTAGAGGAAACTGAATACGCTGCCTTTTTTATGTAATTAATGTAGTTAGCATATATAAATAAACTTCATGGCTCATCCAAATTCAGAGTTACAACAAGAAGTTTAAGTGTAGCACATTGCCACAAACTATTAACTCCAATGATCAATTAACATATATCTCTTCACTAAGTCTTAGAGGGATTTGAGAATTGGTTACATTCTTCACAAACTAAGAACATATGATCTATGAGCTCTAGTGTAAGAAGGAATGTTTAAAATAAGCTCAAATATCCTGTATTTATTGTATAGTGTAAGAATGTTTGAAATAAGCTCAAATAAGACCAAGACTCTGTGTTCTTTCCCATTTGACAATTTTGGAAAACTGCCTTGATTGCAGTCTCCCCTAAGTTGCAGTCTCCTTGGTCATTGCCTAAATGCCAAACCTCAAGGGTAACAGTTTAGTCCCATGTCAATTTGAGTTACAACTAAAATAGAGTATCAAAGTGCAGGGAAAATCTCATCTCATAACTTGGCTTTATAGAATTGAGTTAGACTCAAAGCTACATTTTAAGAAACAAAAAAAATGTATTGACCCATCAAACAACGTTATACTTTTTTTTAGAGAAGTTTTACTCTGTTTCTTTTGTTACTCTTTTTACTGTAGTTTCGTAGAGTTTTACCTTTGATAGTAGGAAACTCTAAATAACTCCTAGTCAAAGTTTGACAATCTAAACCTGGAACTAACCTTTGGTTAGTTAGAGTACAATATCTAAATATCTCTTTTAACGCAAATTCAGTTTGGTTGAATAATATTTTTTAGTTGAAGTTCCTCTCTTAACTATTCTCTAAACTATTCTATAAATATAACATGTATATAGCGCAGAAGTTCTAGATCTATTTCGTGGGTTCCACTAGTATTTTTTTGTGATCCTCACGATTCTATATTTAACTCATTGAACATGATTTGTGAAATAAATGGGTGGAATGAGTTAAGAATAGAGTTCGTTCAATAAACGAGCTTAATTTCACCATGCAGGCTCAATTTGTTCATGTCATGAACGAACTCAAATTTTAACTCATGTTCAGATCATTTGATTCCTCAATCAAGTTCAATGAATCCATAACAAAATCACTAGTGCGAGTCCTGAAATATATATAGGGTTCAAACTAGGTTCTTATATGTAAGGGGAAAAAATCAAATGATATCAGTATAACTTTTATCAACTATTACATCTTTCGGGTCATGTTTTCTTAAATGCTTCAGTTTGGTTGAATTTCCCCTCACACGGATCATGTATACACAATTTTTTACCAATAAAAAACTATTTGATAACACAATTCGTTAGATCAAAATTGTCCCGATATATAATGTTCAAAATATACTAGAATATGAACCATTTTATTACCTTTTTTGTTCAATTTTGGCAAATTATATATATGTGTGTTTGTGGAGCTGAAGCATGATACAATGGAATCTAACTGTATACAGTGAATAAATTTATTTGTGAATTCCAATATCCAATTAGATGATATTCTTTAGGAAAAAAGTCCAGTGTTCTGTATTTTTAATTATCTTATATTCTCGTTGATTGCATGTGTAGATTGAGATCGAGAAGTTATGGACATTTGTTGTAAATAGTTCATCTGATCCCATGAAATATTGGGATTAAGTTATGTAGTGATGTAAATAATCAAAATGCTGAGAGCTAGTTTTTAAAGCAAATTACAAATCGATTGTAAAGTTGTAGGTTTGCAGAAAATTTAACTTCGAAATTTCTCATTTTGTTTATCACAAGTTTTTGCAAGACAAATTTTCAAATCATAAACTAAGTATGCTCTTTTTGGTTCTGAACAGATAATGGAAAGTTGTACATGTGGGGAAATGCTAATGATTCTCAATTAGGAGTTCCTGGGCTACCACCGGTTCAACCATGCCCTGTTGAAGTCAACTTCTTAATAGAAGATGACGGATTAGGACATCACAGAGTTTTATCAATTGCAATTGGTGCATCACATGCCATGTGTTTAGCTTTGAGAGAGAGTAGTTGATTTCGTTAGCTGACTTGGAAAATTCTTCTTTGACTGTAATGTCCTGCTAGCATGGATATGGTTGATTTTGCTGCAAAAGGTAAATTTCATAGGCTAAAATGCAGAAGGTTTTTATTTTGGGAATAGGATATCATTTAATGAAAACATATTCAGATCTCATCATCAGTGCTGGAAGCAATGTTGCTTCCTCATGAGTTTGATGTAGCAGAACACACTATCCGAACATTTTGAAGTAGTGAACGACCAACATTTACAATAGTTTCATCCTTTTCTAATCATCATCAGAAAACCATCTATGGATGAATGTGTGGATCTTCAACTTTTGAGGAAAGCGAAATTGTAAGAACATAAGATCATTGAGTGCCGTGGACTATTACAATATACCCTCATGGGTTATAGGCGTTGTTCTTGAAGTCCAACGCATCGAATTGACTATTCTGACTATACCAGAAGTACTGCGTTTGTAGTGATTGTCCTAAAATCTGATTCCAAAATTCAACATTTTCAGGAGTCATGTATTTTTGGTTGCCAGTTCCTTCGTAGATAGAAAGGATTTAATTTTGAATTTCACCTTGTATTGAAAAACTGGCTAAATTTGATTAGCTATCAAAAGTTAGTATCAAGGTAGGAGATTTATCGAGGCCTCTTAAGGAGTATTTTAACCATTTTCTCACTGCCTCAACATTTATTTTAAAAAACTGAGTCAATTGAGCATAATTGTTTAAATCTTATAATGGCTTTTATATTTATATGTCAATTGAATGTGAGATAGTTGACAAGTCAAATTGTAGGAGGCCTAACATCGAGCATCTCCGGGAGGATAGGAATTCTTATACAAATTCCTGACTTATAAACATCTATTCAAGTATACGTATAATTTTTTTTAATAGATTTCATTATTTGAGGAGTTCAAATTATAATGAAGAGAAAATAAAAGAAAAAGTATGATGGGAAACCTAAAATCTTTTACAGTCCTTAAACAGTGACAAGTTATCTAAAAAGTTCTCATCACAAAAAAATGGAGAAATTGTTGAAACCTAAACCTTGTTTTAGTGAAGTGTTTAAAAAATCATGATAGGTGCCTTCCTACTGTAGCGAATATGTTTAATGTTCAGAAAGTTGTAAAATTACTTCAGAGTCCTCCTCATTGTATATTATTAGAAGGTGTCAAATAAATGAAGATATTTATTTAATAATAAGGATGATAATTAAATTTATATTCATGCTGGTTTCGAGTTGAGTGGGATAAATATATTAGTTTGAATTTTTTTTCTATAAAATATCAAAGTAGAAACGGGAGATAAATAATATAATTTTTATTGTAATCTTTGATTCATATAAATTTTAAAATATTAATATTAAAAAATATTTTTTTTACATTATATATAATATTATTTTTATTTTATATTTGATCTTTTTAACTTTTTTTCTATTCACTTTTGTTATTTTATCTTTTTCAATTTTTTAGATTATTATATTATTATCTTTCTTTTATTTTTTTACTTATTCATATTTACTTAATCTTTTTAGTCAATTTTTTTTCAATCTCTTCAACTAATATCACAAATAAAAAGCTAATTTATTTATTTTGTTATCTTTTTATAAATATTTTACATTAATTTTAATAGTAATTAATATTATTTTATTTTTAATTAAATTTTATTATGTCATATTGTTTTAATTTTAGTTTTCTTTATCGTATATCAAATTTTATCTGAATATTTTGAAGAATTAAAAATAATTGATAATCAAAATTTTTATCATTTTAAATTAATTAAATAAAAATTAATTTATTAAATATTTTTGTATAAATTATATATTTTATATTTATAAATATTTTAAAATGATAACTTAAAAAATAATTAATTTATATTACAATCAAATGTATATAATTAAATATTTTAATACAATATTATAATAATAATAATAATAATAATAATAACAATAATATTATAAGTATATATTTAATTAATAATAATTAAAAATTAAAAAAATATATATATATATATATATATATATATCTAAAAATACATATAAAATATTAAAATTAATTTAAGATAAATATAATTATTTTTTAAAACTAACGTAGTACGAAACAGAGAAAACCCGAAACACAATAAAAATGGTAATAAAAATTTAATTTCTACTTTCAACTAAGATCGATGAAGTATATAAAATTTATCTTTGTCCCGTTCTCTTGTTGTGCCTACCTATGTGTATTAAAAAATTATTTCTATTTAAAAAAAATTATGGATCCTTATATCTCCTGCAATTTATTTTATTTTTAAGAATAAATAAAAATATTTGTAATTTTATTAATTAATGAATAAAAATTTAAATAAATGTAAAAATATGAATTGAATTACATAATGTGAAAAACAATTCGTAAAAAATTAAATAATTGTTTATAGATTTTGTCTTTTGTGTCACACAAAATAAAAATAAATAGAAAGGATAATCTGAAGATAATATACTATTGAATTTGTATCAATCGTAATGGAGACATGAAGCATATGTGGAAAATTTTATAAACTCTCTTTTGCGGGAAACAAAAGGAAGAAGCAAGATCACCTTAAGACACTTTATCACAATCACCTTAAGATAATTTATACTCATGTAGTAATCCTCTCATGAATTCTCAACTTTAAATACACCTAAAAGTTATTTTATGTTCTTTTAATCCCACCAAAACTTTTCTATAATTTTGATTAGTTTAATAATAGAGAATGTATGAGTGCATTATAATGACGATAACATTTATAATAAATAAATCAAAGAATCAATTGTTGAAATTTAAGATGACAAAAATCATCTCATTCCTAAAGTTTGATAATTTCAAATTTGGTGAAATTATGAAGTTTAATTTGCTATACTAAGTGTGTAAACAAAAAAGGCATTCAATGTAACATTATATTAAAGTATTACGAGATTCTTTTTTACTAGTCATTCTATTCAGGAATCCACGCATATATTATATATTACGAGAAGAGTTGAAGCTTTCAACCTCAAAAAGTTCCCAAAAAATGATAAATATAAATTGAAACGTAAAGATAAGATTTTGTACCTTAATTATATATTATAAGATAATTATATATCTAGTTAATATAGAATTTTTTTAGGAATGAATATCTTAAAAGTGTAAAAGTAAATATTAAAGAATTATTAGATAATAACCTGATTATGAGTGGAGTAATAGAATATGAAACTTTATTAGATTTCAAATTAAAATTATTTGACAAAAAATGAAAGATACAACATATGTAATAGTTAGAGATAAATTGTTGTAAATTAAGGAGTATTGCAAAACAGAGAACGTGTTCTCACATTGCAGAAAACCGTTTCAGAGCACGTGTTCTCACACGTTGCAGAAGACTGTTTCAGAGAACGTGTTATCATACGATGCAGAAGACTATTTTAGAGAACGTTGCAGAAGATCGTTTCAGAGAACGTGTTCTCACACACGTTGCAGAAGACTATTTCAGAGAACGTTATAGACAGTGGCAGATCTTCTTGGGAGCTGAGGGGGGCCGTGACCCCCCAAAGTTTTGTAACTCCCATGTAATTTATGATTTTGGCCCCTCCAAACTTAATTAACATTTAATATATTTACTTGTATATTTACCATTTTATCCTTTTACCCTTTCATCTTCTTTCTTCCTTTTATATTTATTTATAATATATTATTTGGCCCCCCAAGATCAATTATCAAGATCCGCCACTAGTTATAGAGAACGTTACAGACCCACTACCAAGTCTTCCATAACTTTCTCTTATAAATAGAGACCACTTCACACTCTTCAGAACACACCTCTCTCATCTTCTCTTCTCTGATCTTCTTTATATGATCCTGGGTTAATTTACTCTTTTGAGAGTTTCTTGCTAGTTTCTGAGATCCTCGGATATTCCGAGAAGTCCCTGTTGTATCCTGGGAGACTTGCGCAATACACCGCGGATAAGTCCTTAAGGGCAGTGATTATACACGTCTCAAGAATAAAGTTTGCTCGTGTCTCTGTCAGCTTTTACAACAATCTTAAGGACTTATGGCTGACAATACGAACATCAACAACTTCCTTCAATAGTAATATTGGATAGTGAAAGAAAGGGAATTATGAAGTGCTCATGGATCAAGGTTAGTCTTCTGATTATGATTCATGTATGCTATTACGTGAGAATAAAAAATCTAAACGTGAAAAGTAGTTTTATATAATTAGTAACGTATAAAAATACATGTGCTATCAGAGCTATACTTATTAGATTTATGATTTTTCTCTTATGATAATTTTTAAATTATGTTTTTCCCAAAATTGAATAAAGGAATAAATGATAATCTATGTTTTAAGCTGCAATCAAATTTAAATTAAAATTAATTTCATAGTCCCTGTGTGAATGACACTGTAATTCTTATTGAAATGTGAATGACCCTGTAATTGATTTTAATTGAAAAAGCAAATTACGTGATTGGGTTAACGGTGAATGAAATTGATTACTGCATGTTATAATTATGATGAAAGAAAGGTAAAATTTTATATCAAATGCTATCAGCATACATCATGCTATCAACATATATCAAATTCGAGAAAGGAACATGTGTTTGGAGATGATTTCTACACTTATCTAGTTGAAAATGAGGAGAAGTAAATGACAGAGGAAGGAAACCTCCTTTGGAGATGATTTCTACACTTATCTAGTTGAAAATGATTCAATGAGTTTTTTAGAGGCTATTAGGGCTCCTGATGCAATACATTGGGATAAGACCATTAAGACTGAAATTGATTCAATTAAGAAATACTTGGACTTTGGTAGATTTGCCTAAAGTAACAAAATCTATTGGTTGTAAGTGGATCTTTAAGAAAAAGTATCATTCTGATGGATCCATAGATAAATATAAGGCAAGATTAGTAGCAAAGTGTTTTACTCAAAAATCCAACATTGATTATGTTGACACCTTTGTCCCTGTGACTAGGATTTCCTCTATTCGAGTTTTGTTAGCTCTAGCAGTTATCCATAAACTAGTTATACACCAAATGGATGTTAAGACAACCTTTTTGAATGGTAAATTAGAGGAGAAAATTTATATGACTCAACCTGAAGGGTGTGTTGTTCCAGATCAAGAGAACAAAATGTGCAGACTTTTAAAATACTTATATGGATTAAAACAAGCACCGAAACAATGGCATGAAAAACTTGATAGTGTTCTACTTTGTAATGGTTTTTCAATTAATGATGCTGATAAATGTGTGTACTCTAAATTTGAGAGTGGTGAATGTGTCATTATATGTTTATATGTAGATGATATGTTAATATTTGGTACATGCATTGACATTGTCTCCAGAACTAAGTTATTTCTGGGATCTAAATTTGAAATGAAAGATGTGGATGAAGCCAATGTGATTTTGGGTGTTAAAATCATAAGGAAGGGCGATAGTATTTTTCTATCCCAAGAACAATATATTGAGAAACTTCTTAG